TCAAATATGACAACTCTTCCACAACAAATGTTCGCCTGAAGGTCATGGTTTTCTGGAACTAATTCTTATAATCTGATTGAAATGTGGGCGAAGTGCGGTCGGCAAGTAATTGGAGATGAACAGGACGCTTTGTAATCTTAGGAATATCAGCTATTAATAATTTTTTATTTCATTGTCACTTTAGTATTAAATTTTGTTATGCCCATGGTGGTCGAATATTACTGTTGCTTAGAGCTTAAGTGGTTGTAGTGTGTGCTAATATACATTAAAAAACACCATCTTTTTAAGGCAATGTTAACTCTCTGTATAGAAATTATGGGAAAAACCAAATTGAGAAATCAGTCTGCATAGGGATAAATGTTTTTCAACAATTCTTGTTATTTTGAATCCACGCCGACCAGTTACGCTTTGATTTATATTTCGCGTCTAGTGCTATACAGACGTTACATTGATTTTATATTTTATTTTCAGTTTATTTGATTTCTTTGAAACTGAAGACAGGAAAAAAACGAGGAATCCTGAATGGAATTCAACTTTCCAATATGTTGATATAGACGAGATTGAAGTAAGAATGGTTAAGGTTTATGTGCTTACAATGATGTGTTAAGAAAATTAATGCATTAAAAATTGTACAAGATTAAAAAAAAACGATATGCTTCTTAAAATTGTTAATGACTTTTTGTCGTTTGTGGTACTTTTAGTAAGACATGTGTCTATGACATGTTCCTCAATTCTGCAATGGCATATCAATCGTTACTAAATTAAGTTTTCTGGTTCGATTATATCAATTCTCAAAGGCGATTCAGTAGCGGAGACCGATTTTGTTAACTGTCCCACTCTTTACACGATCTTTATGCGGTCAAATTTACCTGATCTTTGTAGATCTTTGTTTAACGATGATCGGATAACGACAATAAGTCCGCTCTGTATTTATTTAGGTTCGCAGATTGTCAGTCGAGGTGACTATTTGGAGTCAACAATTGAACGGTGATGTATTTGTTGGTGAAGTTCTACTGGATTTAAAGGATAGGATACCACCAGAACCTATCTGGTATGATCTTCAGGATCATGATGACAACAGTTCACCACTGCCAGACCGGAAGTCATCTATTGGTGATATATCTGAAGCTGATATATTAATTGGATCACAGGATAAAAATGAAAATCAACTGTCTGTTCATCGTTCATTGCCCTCCACACCTTCATATGAACATACCCATAATAAGATGTTTGTGAAAATGCAAACTGGTAAGTAATGGGATGGTTCTGAAAAGACCATTAAAGGTGATAAGTAGATTATTAAAGTTATTGGTTACCAAGCATCATTAACATGTTTGTGACCAACGTCCTTATTTTTGTCTTTAAATCGATTTTTTTTAGCGAACTCGAATTTATTTTGATAATAAGACAATTGAGCATGTTTTCTCTCGATACATAAATTCCAACCGAAAATGTTCTGTCTATAAAACAATTTTTCAAAATGAAGTAAAGTTAATCGATAACATCCGTTGCAGCAACTACAAGTCAATAAAATATTTAAGTTTCGAATAAAAAAAAGCATACATGTACACGTCATGAATAATGTAAAAGAAGAATATAAATAATTATTCTGATTTGCATTTTTAACAGTTGGTGGTATTGAAGATCACGAGTCACCTTGTAGCACTCCCCCACCTGGCAATCACCCAGATGCTACTTTCAATCCAGGTAATCACCAGAAGAACAATTACTGTAGACAATGAAAGTATATTAGAATATTTGACAGTGCAAATATGTCTGAAAATAAAACAAAATTACACCGTTCTGTAAAGCAAAATTACCAAAGAACAACAATGTATTCACTAACAGATATCAGATACAACTAATGATAAAAACCGGCTACGTGCCATCAGAAAACCACTAGAATGGAAACAGAAATACTCTCTGGTGACAATAACATAGCTCCTTATTATTTTCAGATAAAAGGCAAAGTTTGAGCAAGAAAATGAAACAAAGGATGTCTATAGCAGTATCTAAAGTATCTCTAACTTTATCAACCAATGATCATAAACAACGGGACACCGACAGTGATAGTGGTACCAGTAGAAAATTAAGTCGTGGTATTAGCTTAGATCAACCAGAACCTGTAGTTAGTCCCAGATCAAGAAGACTTTCAAGTGGTAAGAAGTCTTATTAAATAGGTCGAGATCAGAGCGATTAAGCGTATGCTTTATTATATATCTTTCTGGTAGGAATCTATAATAGGCTTAATGTTAGTATTATCCGCCTGGTATTAAACACCTGGTTTTGTAATTCCTTTACACAATGATACACGGTGTTTATTGAATTCAATTCATATCTACCTCATTTGTTTTATCGGCTCGTGGACAGGTATCGGATTGGTATATGTACGTTATTGGTATTTATGGTGGTAAATACGTTGGTAAAAGTCTTTCTTAGCTTACTAGAACCACAGACATCGGACGACAAAGGTTCAAATGAAATCTGTTACCCTAACCTACTGAGCAATAAGTCAAATTTATTCCTCTTTTACAAGATTTGTGTTCCCTGTGTTTAGCTTAAGAAAAATGTTTTCTCTGCTTCAGTCAATTTAGACATGTTAGCACCACCACTACCATTAAGTAGCAGAAGAAGTAGTAACTCTAGTCACAAGTCAGAAAATCCATCCGAAAACGATGATGAATATTTAAGGTCAGTGAAATTTTTGTATGATATCAAAGCTTTGATCAAATATAATAAGAACTAAAATATTGCTGGTTAATCATCAACAAGTTTGGCTGTATTGTTACCATGTATATGAATTATGACCACGAATAGCCATCTCTTGGCGGGAAGAGGTAACACCATCGAAAAAATCTTCAAATTTAGTTATGATTTAGCTACAGATGGCATTTATATACATCAGTTTTATTTACGTCGGTCATAAGAATTAAATGTCTTTTTCGATGAAAAACCAGATTGCTGCTCTTGAAATTGATCATTGTTTCATTTTGTGCTTATAATGGAAAACAATGATTTACAGAACAAGAAGAAGTATATGAACTATTATGAAGTAGGATAATACCATTCATTACCCATTAGACGGATTATTTCTCGTGGACTTAAATGTAACCCAAGGCCAAATAGTCTTACATGAATAGCTTGAGTTCTTGGGTCCAAAAGTTTATTTCTTATTCAATGCTATTCTTTCATCCTTTACAGCAATCTTCCTGAAAGTCCTGAAGATGACGAGGAGAATGGTGAAGAACAAATATCATCATCAGGTCCTGGTCAACTAACTCCAAACCAGTCTTTAGGTAACTAATATGTTGTACAGCACTTAATGTAACACTGTAATCCATTTTTTATTAGACGCAGTTCTGGCCATGTATTCTCGGAACGATCTTTGCGCTTGTACGTCCTAGTGTCTTACTTTCTAACACTGCTTTTAGGACGTCCTAGCGCTAAGATTGTTTCGAGAATACCCGGTCTGGATTTTTTGTTAATTTTTATTCTGCCGGTTACATGACGGATTCTACATTTGACAACGTGCTTATTTGTATCAAGTTTCCCGTGGTAATGTGTTAATGTCATAATCCATGATATAGCTACGATACAAAACCCGCAAATAGAATTCTACGGAATGCTACATCCCTCCAGAATACTTACTGAAAATAATATTTGATTGGTTAAATGATGAACATACTTACCTCCCAAATGTGGTAAGATGATTAATGAGAAAATCAAATCATTAAGAATATTTATGACTAAATATTTTCAACTGTATTTTGATTCGATTCATTGCCTATACCGGGCAATAGATCCTATATTTAGTTTGTAGAATACTGCCGTACGTATCATAGATTAATATGGAAATGAAGACAGTTTTGAATCCTATCAGACAGATAGACCTTGGCATATATTCCTTATATTTCATAGAAATATAGGACAATTTGTGCCTTTTATCCTTACTGGCGCCACCAGAGCCTGCAGCTTTATTTCATTTTTCAATGTTGCAGTCTTGTTTTAGCGAGAATCTGTTATCAGACTGTTCGCTATTTTGTACTCAACCATCGGCGCCAAGATAGAAAAACCTCAAGCTTTATTAAGAAAAAAAAATACCAATTAAAATTTCATTATGGTTTCTTATTCCAAATGTTTTTTAATGAAAACGTGGCGAGGGATTTATATATATTTTAGATTATATCAATTAATATGATTACTTTAAATATGTCAATGAAAACACAAGCCAATCTACATACAGTCAGAATATAGACCTTTCTGGAACGAAATTTTCAATTTTAGATCGGGCGATGAGATAATGTTTAAGACATAACAATGTATATATTTGAAAATTGCTAATGTCTCTTATCACCCAATAGTATTATAGGTTTTTAAATGCGATTATATGTGATTTATTATATGATATGTGGTTCAGTTTATGTCGTATCATTATGTAAGATAAGATTATTTTTTAAATCAGAAATATAAGCGGTTTCAGATTTATAAAGATTAGCTTTAAAGCAGAGTGTGTGCTATCTTCATAAAGACCGGAATTGTTCTTCTTCTTAATAAAAAAAAATTGTTTTTAGAAACAGATGAGGGTTTAAAAATTAGCTTCAAAAGGGAATTGTCACTTAATCTTTTCTCCCAGTGTTCAAACAATGGTTTTTTAATAGCTTTCCATTTTAAATACTCGCCAAATATGTCAAATATAAAAAAACCGGGAATACCAAGCCTAAATTTCTACCAAGATCGTCATGTATTTGACTGCAACACATAAACATAGTTAGTTTTGCTTTGAATTTTCAATAAAGTTTAAATTTCTTTTAGTCTAAAAAAAATAATTACAAGCCAAAGCATCAGTCTGGATACAAGATACAAGATATAACACATAATTTGATTTGAAAGTTTTACGGGTCGTTATGTCTGTGAAAACAAGATTTGAAATAAAGTTTAAAATTTAATGGATAGATAATCTAATATTGTATTTTCTAATTATAGAGAATGACGAACTGGGAGATGTTAAATTAGGTTTTATTATCAAGAGAGGACAGTTGGAAGTTGATATTTATTGTGCCAGAAAACTCCAGAGTTCTTCTCAAGTATCCCTTGGTAGGTAGCTTTTAATACCATTAGAAATCCGTTGCAGATTCGGTTGTTTTTTGTATCTTGTGCTTACGTTTGAACTTCATTTACATCAAATGAGAGAACCCCATAAAAATGTAGTGCAATAGAGTTTTCCGTCCTTCGGCTCTTCTCCAGACAGATAACGCAATGGCGTATTGCGGAAATTTTCACCAGGACAATGGCATAAAGCGCTTTGGATTTCCACCCGTCAAAAGATTTTATACGTGCCAAGCCTTCTGCACATAAAACCTCGGTGTACTGAACAAAGGAATATCCAAAAGCATTATTTGAACCTATGCCGGGATCAAACCCCATGTCTAGGTTAACGAGCAAGCGTCATTGATTCACATACTGAAAATGATAAGTTTTCAGAGACGTGACTGCCCAAAGGGTCTTTTGTTACTTGATAATGTGTTTCTATTATTATCGTTATTTGATTATTTAGAAACCTATGTTAAAACATACTTGGTAGAAGGTAAAAAGATCATTCAGAAAAAGAAGACGTCGTTAATCAAAGGTACCAAAGATCCTCAATATCGCAGTAAAATCAAATATTCAGCAGCTAATGTCCATGGTCGACATATGAGGGTAAGTACATTGAAATTTTAAACCAAAAGGGTTCTCCTCGAGCTGATGATTGATCCGAGCTCGTGCGTCATATGGATAACTGAAGAGGACAGGTTAAACGCTACGTAACGCTTCTGTGTATGAGAGCTTACATTATTTTACTAATTAGCAACCAATTTAATTAACAACTTAGTAATTTCAAATCTCTGTTTCCAGATAACAATATGGGAGAAATGTAAAGGATTTGAAAAGAAGATATGTATTGGTGAAGCGGTAGTGAAATTGGACAATTTAGACCTATCACAGCATAACATGGCGTGGTACAAACTTTACAGACAAAATGCTACCAATTTGGGATCAAATGATTCTTTACATTGGTGAACATCATCATGAATCGTGAAACAAAGCTATGGATGTGCCAAATACTGAAGATATTGTGTTTCGAATCATTCGATTAATGAACGGAGAACAATGGGCAGGCCCCAAAAACAAGATATTTGTTTCGTTTCGAAATGCTGTAATCCTATGCATTACTTTGGAAGGTTCCTTACATGGAGAACACAAAATCTGCAAAAACAATGAAGTGGACATGATTTGAGTCCAATAGCCATGCAAGTTCTTTAATAATAAAAGCCGGGGCTTTGAATGTGCTGCATCCATCAAGATAATATTTCAGCATTAAAGCATACGACAAAGTGGATTCAAAATAAATGTTGCACGTTGCAAGTTTTACTTACATTGTTCTTACATTAAATAAGTTAAGAATATTTGGATCTGGAAACAACATATCAAAACATGAGTAGTTGAATATCATAGTGAAATTAATTCATTTAACTTTGATAATCGCATACAATTGGGCAGTAATCGTCTTTCATATCTCCGTAGTTTGTCCAATGTTAGAAATTTTGCTCTTTAGATGGAATTATTGATGCAGAAAATTGGTTTTAGGTGTGTTTTCGATGTGTTTTCGGCAACGCTGTATAGCAAAGGACATATAGATGAATTGCAGATTAATCGTGACGGTATTATTTGATCGCCATGGGTAGTTTGAAAATGTCTCTTGTATAGATCAGTTTTACAGAATATTATGTAAGTTGATAAAAGAACGCTTGAAACCTGTTTCGAATCAGTTGCCGACAGTTCAGTTAAATATAGACATGATAATAATTTTAACTCCGCTCTCTTATGTCAAGTTGCCAGGCATAGCAATTAAAGTGAAATCCAGGATAGAAAAGTAGAGCAAGTACGTCAATATCTGACGACTGTCATTATCAGGTAGGCTTTGATGAGCTGATAATCAATATATTTCATAAGGTATTATTGGACTGGCTGCTTTTAATATCCTGTCATATAGAGTGGTATATCATTTCAACATATCTCTTCAATTTTAATTATTGAAATAAAATTATTTATCTTTTTAAGCATCTCTCATTATTCTGAGTACGAGTTTACCACAAATAGGTTCGCGATATTCTCTTATTCTGTAGAGCACAAAAATGGTTTGCATCTAAGGAAGACAACTCTGTGCTTTACGATTTTATTTCCAACAGCTTATGGGCTCAAAGTTTATATAAATTGTGGAAAGTCAAGGTTTTATTTGAGTCCAACGGAACAATCATAGTTTCATTTCTTCTTCATCATTCGTTTGATTATATTTGTCGTTTGAATGGTCCGCTCACGACATGTCCTAGCACTCTGAAATTAAAAGATTGGCATCAGGTCAAGGAAGGTAGAGCTTGTCCTAAAGTCGTAACAACAGCAGTCAAGATAATTGAGACCCCCAAAACACTCTTGCCTATAGTTTATGACAATATTTCAAACAATATATCATATAAAAGATATTAAAGCTGGTATGGCGATGTTATACTTTGACAATGAATGTTATATCCCATATAAATATCAAAGATAAAAAAAGTGAAAAATATCCTAAATTATGTTACATCAGGTCCAACCTTATATTGTATAATGAAATGCACCACAAATAAAATATCGGAATTAAGGAACAATTAACCACTAAAAATCATGATAATACATAAGAAGTATTGATGAGGAATCACAATAATAGATTAATCTTGAGATAAATATATCGATAGCGTTAAAAAATAATATTTCTTTTTAAACTTCATGCCAGCTTTAAGTTTGCTGAGTTATCATTAAAATAATGAATATCATTAACGATTGAGGTTTCCTTTTTGAGGACATAAAAATTCAAGCACTGGTTAGTGTCCTAAGTGAGTAAATTGGGTATATTCTATCTATGTGTTAGTGTACGTAAAATATTAAATTACCACTTCAAATTTGTTAAATGCGTCAACAAGCCATGTCTTGTGAACACTCTCGTGGGACAATTAGTATTTGCAGACTTACGACCTTGAAATGATAAAGATGGTCTAATTTGGTAACTATTGAAAAATAAACAAGGGCAATAAATCAAACTTAAGCAATGTTAAAATTATAAAGAGCAACTATTAGACTATCAGAATCATGTTCTAGACTAAGTACTATCTTACAAGATGGCGTGGAGTGGTTCTTCTAGCCTCTGCTGATTTGATTGTGCTCGATCCAAAGAGACACAACTTAACACGGGCTGGCCTAAAATATTTATAAGATTCAATACAGATCTCAATATTGTTTTCTCATGATAGCTTTAAGTACCTTTTTGGGCTCAAGGAGAAATCGGTCGTTATATGGAGCCTTAGATGGTTAGGTGTTTTTGAACTATGGAATAGTTTACATATTGTTAAGGACAAAATACATGTATTAATATGATAAAACATCAAAACTTGTACAGTGTTTCCCATTAATAATGACCAAAAGGAATGCCTATTAAAATATAATTTGGAAAGTCCTTTTTTTCTTCAAAATACAACGTCACCAAATCGAAAATTGTTATGTCAATTCCCCGATACCTAACTTGGGCTTGGGTGTGCCTTTGGGATCTATATGGCTTCAATTATGGTCATCTAACAGCCCCTACCATAGAGTCAACCTAGTCCAGTTGGGAACCTGGGGAGTAATATGATTAGATGAATAAAGCAGTGGCGTTTCTTGGAAAGATTAGTGGAAGGGGCCGAGCAGGGGCCAGAAAATTTTTCAGGGGGGTCCAGGCCAGTCTTACGATTGGACATTATGATTATATAAATGGAACCATTTTCATAGAAACACCGTCACTGATATGGTAGGATATGGTAGGATATGGTAGGATATGGAAGTTAGTGGGTCATTTGGATACTTACCTATCAGCAGATCCAGCTCGTGATTTGACTGTTTTTTCTATATAATATCTTGGCGTACAGACCCTATAGGTCTCAGAACCGTCCTGCAAAAAAACGTAACATGTTATATGTTTGAAACCATATTGAGATCACTAGGACCTTTGGAACTTTGACCTTTTGACCTTAGACATGAAGCAAATGGAGTTAAAAAAATGGTACTAAAACTATATTTATTTTGCACCTGTCCCATCAGCAAAACGATTTATGCCTCTCCGGTCTGATGAATTTAAATGATATTGCAAAAAAATGACGTTTCAGATCTTCATTAACCTATGCATTAGAAAATCTGTTATTTGGTTTTCTTTTCATTTCGAGACATTAAATTTTGCAAGTTTAGCCATTCAAAATATAATCTCTTCAGATGACTTTTAAGAAAATCTCAAGAATTCTAATAGAAAAGGAATCAGTCAATTCTGAAGTTAAATTGTGCACTGAATTAGTGATTAGCTTAAAGGTCAGACAGGAATGAGATGATAAAATAAATGAAGCTGGAATGAATGGGTGGATGAATGAAAGATAGATGATACCTATACCTTACCGGCAGTTGTATTATTTTGCCATTCACTTTTTTATTACTTTGCTCCCGAGCCCTCTGTAGTGGAGATCTTAAATAATGTGGTCGAAATGGTGGTGGACCGATATGCTAAAATGAGACCATTGTTATTTGATTACAATTACAACGTACAATGCAGAAAACAAGTCTTGGAAAGTGTAAAGATTCCTGCTGGTCCTCCAAAATCATGTGCCTATGGAGTGACAAAGGATTGCTACGAAGCTTATAAATGACGGAAGGACCATGCATATACTTGAAACCATATTCTTTAAACATAAGTTGTTTTTTTGTCATCACCGTGTCAGGGCGATTGCTGAAGGCAACTGTGCATAAAGTGGCAATAATGGGTTGGGGTGGATTAAACTTTACCTTATCAAGTGATCTAGAGATTGCTTCAATAGATGATATTTGTTTGTCACCACAGCCAATCTTCCCATAATATTCCTCTACACTATGTTTAGTATACCTTTCTAGCTGCTTATCTTGTATATTCTGATCCACAGCCGGTAGCAGATCTTTCATAGGGAAATATTGTCCATCAGAATCTACAGATTTAACGCTCTTATAACTTCCTACTCGGTTACGACTAGATGGTCGACCAGCGCTTCTATTAACAACGGTCCGTGTCACAAGATTAGATACGTTTAGATCCGGTGAGGTATTGTGAATTTTAGCCACAGTTTGTGGTGTTTCCACCTCATTGGAATCCTGAATACCCACTCGACTCAGAACTAAGCTGCTCGGTCGATCTCCAGTAGACAATTGAGATTTGTTTGTTTTAGGGTAGTATCGTTTGATATAGTTGGTAACAAAGGCTCGAGAACTATTTATAATATTATGACGATACACTGAAGAAGTTAATTCATTATTTTGAGCGTACGTTACTTTCACAACCTTTTTATTGACGGAATCGTCCTGTTCGCGAAGCCAACGGAAGCTTGATGACTTTCTGGCAGTTTCATTATCACCTACATTGTCGCCCACATGGTTACCTTCACGGTCAGCTGTCTTGTCTGCGAGATCAAGGAGGGGTACTGGACGAATTTCGCCACTATTTGTTTCGTCATTGCAAGATGTCTTTGATTCATAACCATCATCTTGAAGCTCTTCAGCTTCTTCGCCATCTTTAGAAGCGTTTGGTTTCACAGTATCCTGACTCTCTGTTGGTTTTTGAGGAATCTCTTCAGCGGGTTGCGTTTTAATTTCTATGGCACTTATTTCTGTTTTTTTAGACGCAATGTTCGCACCAGCACTCTTGACTATACGATGAGATTTCTTTTCAATCTTTGGAGAAATGATATGCTTCTCTTCCGCGGAATTTCTTCGGATGTTTTCGGAAATGTTCTCCGAATTGAATTGTTTAAAATGCTGCGGATTCTTCTGAAATCTATCTGCCAAGCTAGCGTATTCAAAATTACCAACATCATCTATAGAAGAACATTTATCTAGGCTTAAATTCCGATATAAATCTAGCTCTGTTGGTTTTCCTAGAAAATAGATAAAATGGATAAGGATGGTTCTTGACCTCAGGCCTGTAGAAGATTTTCATTGCGAAAGCAGTGCTGATGTGCGAGTTACTCGAACTATTTATGGTTTTACTTATATACAATACAATGAGCAATTCTATGAGTAAGGTTCAGACTAGATAAACTGTCAATGTTTTTTGGACACGATGCTTTGAGGACTGTTGTTGGAGGAGGAGTGTCGTAGTCTCGGACTTTTAACATTCTAGTAAGATTTCATGGTTTCAGCGTCAAAAAAGTCAGTAACACTCAAAAGCTATAAAACTTACTTTTGACGAAACATCGATCTCTTTGCCATTGCATCCATGTTGATATATCTGAAAGGTACAATTATAAGAATATGGCCGTTTCAAAAATGGAACAATTGACCTATGGGGTTTTCCGAGATAGAACTAGTGGAAATTTACTTTTTAGGCTGTTGTCTTCCAGCTCCAGTTTGTCACATCCCTTGGGTCTTTGTTGTCCAATCTGACAGACCAGATCCATTCTCCGTGTTACCTCTCCAAACATTCATCATTGACAATGGGAAACAATGTAGAACTGATTTACTTTCAATGTTAAAGTAGGATATTTCATATAAACCGAAGTCATAAAGAAGATCTTTGCTCAGGCAATGCGTGTCTCGTTGCTTGACTGAAATATGTTCACTTCTCACGGAATAAGGTTTTTAAATCATCTTGATGTTGACAAACTGAGCAAAGCGAAGAGTCTCGGTAAGAAATATTCCTACGTATGCATAACTTACCACAGTCATCTTCTAGTTGAATTGGATCCCAACCACATATTGGCACAATTTTTTCTGTCTTTTTCCTGAAAAATAATTCCAGCAAATCGTACAAATGGAACACAATATGTATTTATAGTAACTGTCCGAGATTAAGAAAAAGAAACAAATAAATGGTAATCCTAAGCATTGTATTGAATTTTATATAGAGTACATCATAATAAATTTTAAACCTAAGCTTTTTCAGTGTCAATATGTCAATACGTCCCATTTCTAACTTATCTAATTCTAATCTGAAAACGTCACTTAGGTCTGATACGTCATTGCCATAGATGTAAAATAACTCAATGGTCATTGATTGCCCAATTAGCACTGCGTCATGATCTAAGATTGAGCAACTTTAAAGAAGCAGTATGCACAATTTCTTAATTAATCTTTTATAATATTTTTGTATACCCGCTTATAATGATTCGAATTTCTTTTTTATCAAGTTATTCTTAAAATTAAATTTCTCGACTCTTTTGTTGAAAAGCATTTTTAATTAAGGAACTCCATGACTCTCTTCCGCATGGATATGACTTCAGCTACGAATTGAGTCTGTACATGGCCATTGCCCTCACTAAGTGTAGTGTTGTATTTCAATCACTCCATTTCTAATATAATTATATTTATCTAGGAAGTCAAGTTTATAGAAATCAATCTCGTTATCTAGGAAATCATTTTAGACTTTGTATGTCTTTATTGACAGTAGAATTAACTCTTTTTAACCGTTAACCATAGCTCTACATGACTACCATAATATTACTAGGATTCATTTACATTACTTCAAGTACAGCAAGTCGAGTAGATAACGCTTCTGTTAACGATTAAGACGAAGGGGTTGACGGAGGGTTTGAGGGGGAGAGGGGTAGGTAAATAACAGATTCCGATGTGACATGTAGTGTTGGGCTAGTTCAGATCCTAATTTCCCCATTCATTTAAATGGAATCGGAATTTGGGGTCTGTGGCGCCAGAAGTAAAGACCTTAATGCGCACAAACTCACGAAGTAATCCAATCATTGCACATTCTGTAATGATCTTTCATTGTTTGAGCTGAGTAGATTTATGAGACGTATAGGGGGTTTCATCATAGATTTTTATACCCTAGACTTTAAAAATTGTAGTTAATTTTTCAACAGCAAGACAAGTCTCGATAAATTCTTTAAAATCGTATCATAATGGTACTCCTAAAATTTTGTAAAATTAAACTTCCAGTTTCTAAACAAGTCCTTCTGTTGATAGTTGAGTTTTAGAAACACATCTCGGCAGTATCAGATGAACTCTAATTAGTAATGAACTCTTCTGAAAGCAGTCTTTTATTGAATTTTTAGTGTTATATGAGTCTTCGGACTTCCGAAATATTTTTTAATCATTCGACATTTTGCATTGCTTCAAATACACAAGCAATTGTCAAATTGTTCCATATTTCTTAAATATCTTAGAAATTACCTTGAAGGTTCTTTTTTCTCCCTTTTGCCTCCTGAAAATTGTTTCTCTCCAAATTTTGCCATGTCTTACTACAGAATTATTGTTGGCTGTTTTATTGTTCCTTTGTTGACTATACGATTTCCATAATCCACTTTATATTAAAAATCCAATAGTATACTAGTACATATATATACCTATTGTTGTCCCTTACTATACGGAATGTTATTGTTGAAAACTACTTTTCAATAGCGTAGAAATTACTGCTTAAGACTATAGCATTTGATATATGTTTGGACACAAATATCCAGATCCAAACCAATTTCCTTGCGTCACATAGAACTTTTAATAATTAGACCAGTTCTTATCAATTCAAACGTTAAAATCCAATGCAACTTCCATTTTACTACATAAAGGGTTTACCAGTCCAAAACCGTTAACTTGTTATTGTCAACACTCCATAATGACAACTTTTGAAGAATAAGAATGCATTGATCTCACATTTAGACTGTAGCATGTCAAGACCCATAAAAAGGGCATAGTAATGTTGTTAAACATTCTAAACGATTTGTATATAAGTATAATTGCTAGACCTATATACTGTATAAAGATTAATATGATTAGAGATTTGTTCTGCTCTGTTTAATATATGTATGATATATTTAATACGTATATTGTATAATATCCAATAGAACTTATTTATTATGTGATAAACAACGATTGGTGGATTAGTATACTAATCCGATGTAGGAAATTAAAGTGCAGTTTATCGGTGAACGCCCAGTCCTAAATCTAACTTTAAATGAATAGTTTATCCAGTTGTTATCTGTATTATGTAATTTCATGTGACTTATTGCTGAACAACACGAAATGGTATATTTAACCGTTATACGTATCAGATAAAGAGCCAACTCCTTCTCTCTTAAGCTCCTTCTCTCGTAACCTTCTCCTCCCACATTTTGTTGTTGATGTTTTCAGGATTTCGTTGACGATGGGGCGAGTGGCGTTGAATCTGAGCACCTCGGCCCCGGCCCCTCACCCCGTTTTGGATTTGAGAGAGTATTAGTCGCGGGGGGGTGGGGTGTTAGGGGCATAACTCTCTCTCTCTCTCTCTCTCTCTCTCTCCATTCTATTTATCTTCCAACCTCTTTTATCTCTCTTTCCCTCTCTGCCCGCCTGGCCACTTTCTCTCATCTCGCCCCTTTATCTCCCGACCAACCCCCATTTTTGCAGATGTAACAATTTCCTAAGTAAACATTATCCGACAACGGACGTCTAGGCCTAGGCCTACCTAGTGAGGTTAATAATTTTAGTAGTGATCAGGTGATTTTTTATGATTTTTTTAATCGGCTGATGATGACAATAGAGATTGCAATTATTTGCTGATTTGTTTCAATTCATAGTAATTTTCAATGGAGGTTTGTGAAATGGATATACGCATAGAAAATAATGTCCGATTTGGCACCTGTACGATTTTGATAAATATTTCGATTAATAGGTCTTTTCCAGAACTTTGGACTGGTTTTTGTCTTGACAATCGCGACTAAAGTACACAGGTCAACAACAAATATGGCTGCTCCCACTAAACCTTGGGAGCAACCTGGTGTTAATCGTCAAAATGACAGTTTACCCCCATGTTGTCAAACTGGTACTAACTTTATGTCAAGGTAATAATGTCTTGGGTATCCATTAGCGTGTTTAAGGCCAAATATCTTCTCATCACTAACGGAGTTGCCTACGACTACGACCACTGGACTGTTTCACAAAAAATAAAACTATTATAGGCCTACTGTGTGTTATTATTTTTATGTCTTCGTAACAATATTACGTTTGGTAATTTAACCATTGACATAAGCTCACTTAGATATGAAGAACTTTACAAAACTATGAATTATAATAAGCGGGCACTCGAGGTCTTTTGAAGCTGATATCTTTTTGAAAGTACCGTAGTTCACTTATTTTCCACTTATTATCCCATTCATCAATATTCATATGGGGAAGTTTGTGCTCCCTTAAGCATGGATTTTAACACTTTTATAATTTGGACAGTTAAGTAGCCCAATTTGTGATTTTGTGTCTTTATACTGTCATTTTCAGCAGTCCAGCAACTTTACCTATGATGACAGGTGGTACAGCACAACCATCAATTTCAACACAACCTCCTCCCCTACCAGTTAGACCATCAACACAGCTCAATTCCTCAATGATGAATAGATATGGTTACAGTGGAATGGGAAATGTTTATGGTGGTATGGGGTATGGTCCAGGATATGGTCTATATAATAATGGCTACAGTTCATATGGTAGCTATGGTATGAACAGATATGGTTCTGGTGCTGAACCAATGGGAACATTTGCTCGGCAAGCAGAAGAAAATTCTCGGCCAGCATTTGAATCAATACAAAGTATTGTTGGTGCCTTCACTTCAGTCAGTATGATGTTAGATTCCACATTCCAAGCAGTGTATAGTTCATTCAATGCAGTGATTGGTGTGGCTGATAATTTTTCCAGATTAAAGATACAGTTAATGCAGTTTGTTTCAGCTCTTGCCTTTATACGGACATTAAAGTATATGTATCGGAGGTTGTTAGAATTATTGGGTCTTCGAGCTCCAGGAACTGCTTCTGAGGAATGGAACAAAGCTTTTACTGCAGCGGCTCAATCGGCTTCAAATGATCCAAATGGAAAGAAATCATCCTGGCCAATCCTTATGTTTTTTGGAATAATATTGGGAGGACCTTGGTTAATTTGGAAGTTGATTTCATCCTTTACCCCTACAAGCACAGGTAAAAACCTTTGATTCTTATTAAGCTTTCAATAGAAATAGTGAAAATACACCATTTTTAGATACCAAGAAAAATTAATTCGATACCATGTTAGTTAGTCATGTACTTAATTCCTCGCTGTTTTTGATTGGTTGAATAATTCAATGACCTAGAACACTTGTTGCAAAAAATGTCCAGAGATTATAGATGTTAAGTGGAATTGATAGGAAACAAACAATTCAATTTTTTTAATATGCATTTTAATCAAAAATATGTTAGATTATTATGACAGCAATGAACCTATTTTAGAGATACCAGCTTGGGCCAGTGGTGAAGAAGATCATTTTGTAGCTGATGTTGTATATGATTTTACTGGTGAGACCAGAGAAGAAATAGCTATCAAATCAGGACAAAGGATAAATATTGCACCCAAAGGTAGGCATAGAAATTGTTTCATCTGGTTTTATAACATTAGCTTTAATTCTTTCTCTCAGTGTTCAACTAAATTATGAGTTTTTTGTCGATGTCGTAAAATTTTGTCAGTAAACGGCTAAAGTTTCATTGCTTGTAATGATTTTAGACTTTAAAAAATAAAAAATAAATCACACTCCACCTTTATTAATATCATACATGTATTATGTCTTCTTTCAGAGAAGCAACCAAAAGTGAGGGGATGGCTATTAGGCTGTAGTGAAGGTAAAATAGGACTAGTGCCCGCTAATTATGTTAAAGTAATAGGTAAGAAAAGGGGCCAGAAATCAATGGAGGTAGTTGGTGCACCTAGCCAACTGGCTGAAACCCAGGGTCAACTAAATACAACAGGGAATAGTACATTAGCAACTACTAATGAAGAAGAAATGGATGCTATATTTAATGTGCCTGATAATGTGGACAATGCTAATGTTGAAAAGGTGGATGTACAGACTGAATGTGAGACTAGCCGACCTAAACAGTGTTGCAGTAAAAAGACATAAAATTATGATTTCAAGACTCAATTTTATCTGTGATTATGAATACTATGATTTTTAATTACAATTTTCTACAGGTTTGTGATTATTCCAGTGCTTATTTCCATTAATAACAATATTCATGTGTATCTTAATCAGTGACTTTAATTTGTGAAATCATGAGAAGTTGTCAGTGGTGAAATTGTGGAATCATGCTGAATGATGAAATTTAACTAGATATTATTTGGAATCATAATAACTGAAGGATAATACAGCAATGCAGTTTTATCTGGGTGTTGTGCAGAAAAGATGCATATTGTGTTTTCAAATTTCCTTGAAACTCTTCCTTTCACAGAGAATATAGACACAAGTTGAAGAAAATATAACATGAATGTAATTATGTAAGTCTATATTACAGTCAGAGTTATTTTCATTATTTTAGCGTTATCTATTCAAATATTTAATAAGATATTTCATACTCAGTGAGTTTCTAGTGTACCCATCATGATCTAGGATATGTGTTTAGAAAGTAATACTTTCATTTACTTTTCAAGCCTCCTGTATCACTTTTCAGAATTGATATCAACCATCTCTACCTAGCTAATTCTTGTAATCAAAGTCTTTTAAATGGCGATTAAGGTATCAGTTGTGCATCTCATATGAGAAGTAATACAGGTATTTTAAGCTCTTGATCAAATGAGCAATCACAATGTTAAACCCTTCCTTCTGTGCACAAGTGACATAATTTCAACCAGCTTTTGGGGCAATCTACTCAATAGCGAAGATGAATTGGGCAATATAAATGAAAGAAAAGAGACTTGTTCTTGAATATCCCTTTATTTATTATCACGTTTAGAGCATATTTTCAGGGAATTCAAATTTAACATCCTTTCCAGTTAAAGTTTTATAAACAGCTGAAAATGTGTCCACCTGAAAAAGAAAATCAAAATATTGTACAAAGACTGTTTCATGTCACTCACTGCACATTTACTAAGTTTCAATCTTCTTGAGATGTTGCCACAAACAATAGATATCCCAGATCACTAAAGAGGATGTTAAACTAAGCCGCTTCCAAATAGTGAATAAGGAGTTTCTGAAAAGATCCAGACAAGTTCCATATAAAAACTAGAGAAAATATATCAATAAAAGCATTCAAATTGAAATTTTTAAACTTATGTTTAGGGTTACTTACTTTGTGCTCAATATTAGTTTGTTGTGTTTTATCAAGATGTACTTTAATGAGTCGAGAACCATCTAACTTTATTCTGATCCTTTTACCAACAATTTCAGCAGGGTAACATATATCATCTAATAAATCTTCATGTACCTTGGTTAAAGTTCGGCTGAAAAAAAAATATTTGGAATGAAAAATTATGACATTCTAAGTGTGCCATATGGGAAATTTTGTCTGGACAGCTTTTAATAACAATTCTCTGACCTGCATCTCTAAAAGGGTACAAATTGAAAAATCTAAAGCTATTATCTAAAAGCCATGCCTGTATCGAACCCTAGATCATCAGGTTAAAGAGCAGAATCTAGCTGAACCATCCTTCGCTTGAATAATTTTGTTAAATGTTTACTGTGGTCAAGCTGATTTTCTTGTATATATACACAGGACTGAATCAGGGATATATTTTCCTCATGACTTCTTCCTATAATGACATACTTACAGTCTGGATCTCTGTAACTTTTGTTTCTTTCCTCTGTTTTTTTGTTTACAGTTTCTTTTAGGTTGGGCTAGAATTTTTCTCTGCAAATAAACAGATGCAGAAGTCAGTCAACATAAAATACTGAACATTGTATAACTTACAGCATAAATTTTTCACAGTGACAAGCAGAAAAAAAATCTAAAATCTAGGATTAAAAAAAAGCATACCTGGGCAACAAAGACCACATGTTTACCACTGTATTTCTTTTCCAATTCTCTCACCAATCTGGTTTGAATTTTCTGGAAATTCCTTAGGAGGATATATGGTACAAAGATCACTATGGCTTTCTTACCAGCAATTTCTACTTCCTAAAAAGAAATTTTGTGAATAAATCATACATGAAAGAAATATATAACCTACACTGAATAAAGGAAAGTAGGAATGTACAAGACATTGGATGTCAACCTTCAAATCAACACATACCCTTAATAGTCTTCAATAACAGTGAAATCAGAATTCAATTTTTCTCCCATTTCACAAATACTCAATATATAGTTTTCAACTACATGCCATTCGTCAAGAATGTCTTTCAGTCCATAAGGTTACACAATTTTACCTTTGAATAAATATACGTCCCTCCCAGAAATTTCCAGTGACAATACTCACCCTAGCTGAAACAATGTGCAATTCTCGGAGTTGCAATTTCAGGTCACTGTTGGTCTCCAATTCAAACAAGGCCTACAAAATAAACAGACACGAATGAATACTGATTTTAAAACAAACTTATTGGTCATAAATGGATGAAATCAATTTGGCGAATTTGTACAACCCAAAGACTATACTATGTTTGTGACATTTTACATTGGCTGCATGATTACTATAAGAATCAGAATCTAATGGTTTGGTAAAAAAAAATGTGTACTGACCTGAATCAGACTGTATTCAATGTCGCTTGGTCTTTCGCCATTTGGCTTACGGATTTTCGATCTGAAGTTATACATCTACAATATAAATCAACAATCATTAATAAGTTTAAAAGCTTTTCCAGCATGATCATCCCACTGCTCACTTCTTAAAGCCTTATCATCATATTTGTTAAGACAATGATTGTCTGCAACAGAGCATTCAATTATCAGTTGTATGGAACCAAAATGGTGCAAACAAGGCATCTTGGAATTGGGACATTCCTATTTCAGAGCTATGTCAGAGTAGTAAGTACTGATTAATATAATCATGCATTGCAAATTAAGATTAGTCAATTCCACCCTGTCATGGCAGTTTAATCTAACATTACTACATGGATCATCAGATCAGTCATTTAATCACAGCAATGAATGTCTGTAAATCAATATGGAGATCGATACATCACTCGATTCCTGTGATTATGGTGCCAATACTTCTATAGGGGCCTTCGAAATGAGAAGGGGTTCGAATCAGATCCACCGAAACATGTGAAAAAGAAGGCTGTTTACATCATAAATCTATCCCAAATCGGCGCTGTTACGGGTCATCAGTATCGTAATATGGCTCAAATAGATAGATGAAATGATATATAAGCTAGTGCCAAGGATTTAAGTTCAATCAATTTCGAATTAATGCAGTATTTCTTATATTAAGGGATGCATAATAATCAGTAAGTCGCACCTCGACAATGTCCGTAGCGGAAAAGGACCACGAGAGGTTCAAGGAAATTGACGAGAGTTTGCGAGACCGGAGAAGTCAAAACGACCTCTTGTCAAATCGCACTTATACATGTATCATGTATTTTAAAGGGAAACTACTCCACATAACACAGAATGCCAGCGAGTCCTACGATTCTTACTAAACTAACAACACTGTTTACACGAACATAATTCAAGGTACCTAGATATTATTGCCAGGAACAAGTTGACTTGATCAGTCAATGATACATGTTGATCAATATTCAATCAATGCGATTTTGGCAATACTCATAATCATTGATTTGCCACTGGCACTAATACATTATATTTTCTTCTTAGATAAGAGCCAAGAGGGCTCTTTTCAAATTTCTGATCGGAGAAAGAATGATGGTTATTAATGTTCTGTAGTAAGTTCCTGTTGACACCATATAGAATAATGTATTACGCTGTAAGAAAAGGGAAGAAATCAGGAATTTATCCTACTTGGTAGGTATTTTGGTTTTTAATGATAGTTCATGCTACGACACTATAAATAGATTTACTTCGACAAGTTTAATTCTTACACGTGTAAAACATGGAGGTTGTGGGTTCTAAGTCATCTTTCCTCATTATTTAATTTGACTCAGCTGAAAAATTGGTATGGTATGAATAATCTGGGAAAGATCAGTGACATTTACCCTGATTCAGAACATGTGACTTGCACTTGACTTTTAAGTTCGGTATATAATTAAAGGCTAGTTAGAATAGATAATATTATATCGCCAGGAAAGAATGTGAAAATCAAGTAAAGGGATTTAAAGGCCCGGTATTTAGAAAGTTTTCAACACATTTGGAAGCTGAAGAGTTTATGAATAGTAAAGGAAGTAGCAGTAAATCATGTAAACCAGGTAGTGTAAGACTATCAATTCTTTATTGGTGTTTGTTTACTGTTGATTACTGGCACAAAACGGTCAACAATTTGTGTTTTTGGTAACATTGTAAAGTCAATTTTGGTTTTTCCGTTAAAGGATGAATGAATGAACATACATGTAGTCTCAAAAGAATAGACCTACTTAGTGTCATAACTATACAATAGAATCCCTGTATATGACAATAAATTAAACAAGGTAAAAAAAACCCTTCAAAATATTAAGCATTTTTCAATGATTTCCTGTAGTTTTATGGACACTTAGCTTTTACCGATTGCTATATGATTTTTCTGTTATTTGCAGTTTTAGTTGATGATATGTTTATTTTTCATAAGAATGTGCTGGCTCCAGTAGCAGTAATGGTAAGGTACATAAAAGTTTTGATATGGAGGATTGTGATGTTGGAAATAACAGTAATTCAATAGATACTGGATTAATTTTTAAATCTCTGAGTGAAATGAAGACATCTATTATACAATTACATCAACATACTGGACTAATAACACAAACTTTAACTGGTTTATCTAATACCTTATCTACTATTGAAAATTCCATTTTTGGTAAGACACTTTCTTTGTGTAGTTGGTCATGCTTTAGTCCCCGGCTCAGGGTCGCAACCTCATTTAGAATCGAGAAGAACTTTTTTAGGCCCCCGATAATGGTTTATGAAACGATTTTAATCATAACATTACAAATAGAGAAAGACATGATTGTCCAGTGTTGAGCCATACATTGCAATACTTATCACTGAGAAATAGACACAACCATCTCATTGATCATTAATTTGTGATCAATGTGGAGGTTTGAGGTCGCGATTTGATGTTGGTTTCTGGAATTAGGTTGCTACCGGAAAAAATGTTGGGAACCTCAGCTTTAGTTTTTGACTAGTAAGTGATCTAAAAGCAGGGACTAATATTGGGTGGTCACAGATTTAGATCTCTTGTACTTTATTAATATGTATCATTCATAATCACCAGTCATTTTGAATAATAACTCAGTATAGTTAACTTAGGAACAGTTGCGCAATTATTTTGAACAATAAAACTTTGGTCTAATTAGGAATATGTTTGTATATTATTAGCATCATCCTCAAGTTTATTTGGCACCTCTTCCAAGAATACACCATTGAAACGAGCCCATTCAACAGAGGAAGGACAAACACCTAAGAAACAGAAACCTAATAGTGATGATTCAAACGGTAATTTTTCAGGTAAGAATGACTTTAGTTCAAACATCAACACTTAATGTCAGCTCTAGGCCAATAAGAGGATATATTCATCAGTGCACTTACTTGGTGTTATAACTATATAACAGAATCCCTGTATGATCCACTTTTAAAATATTAGTTTAACCCTTTGAACGCTGAGTGTAAATGAAATATAACATCATATACCCTGAACTCCAAGTAATAAAAGTAAAAGTGTATGACATTGACATTGTATGATGTCACTTAGTAATGGCCGGTATACTGGCTGCTAGTGTATATATTGTGTTAGTGTGTGGCTGGTAAACCGGCTTCTAGGGTTGAAAGGGTTAAGAATTAAAATTTTATGTTTATTCTAGGAGTTAGATTTTAAATTTTAGTTGTGAGACATTATCTGCTGCAGTCATAGATATATGTTGTTCAATACCAGAATTTTGATTGCAGGTATTCCATTTGCTGAAAGTGAAGGTACTATAGTGTATACTGATGGTGCTTGTTTTAATAATGGTCAGAAAGGAGCTACTGCTGGTGTAGGAGTATATTGGGGTCCACATCATAAAGAGTGAGTTATGTACAAGTTCAAAATACTGATTTAACACATGATACCTTTGATTAAATGTTTTGATAGAGGTCACTAAAATGTAGGGTGTTATTAAGCTATGTTTCAGTGTACGTCTAATTGTTCTTATGATCGGAGCCGCGGTGGCTCAGTGAGTTAACCAGAAGGCCTAGGGTTGAATCCCAACATAGGTCAAGATAATAACTTCAGATTTTTCACCTCGGTTTCCCCCTGTCAATGAAGCAGGTAAGAGGGACTGACAGGGAAAAAGTGGTTAGTCGTTCAAATGGGACAATTAACCGAGACAGCGTGTGCTGCAGGCTGTGCATGTTAAAGATCCCACGACAGTTGGAAATTGAAAAAGAGCAGGCTAATCCCGTCGTCCTTGTAAAACTATTATTCAAATGTTAGTAAAGTGCTGAATTGTATATTTTGCTGTTGTAGTAATGTAAGTAGAAGTTTAGATGGTAGACAGACCAACAATAGAGCTGAAATACATGTAAGTAAATTTATATAAACTTTTTTGTTTTTTTCATTTTAAACAGGGACATATTTTGGAATTGAAATGAAAAATTTATTTTACTTCCACTTTCAAACTCTATTCTCTGACTTCCCATATTAGCAAATTATCAATTGGGAGGCCACTTGACACCCCCGCAACCCCTCAGCTCACCCTGACAGATGCCCTCTAAAACTCACAAAGGGATGCCAGGGCTGTCATATGAGTAGCTGCTGATCCTTGACTAAATGAAAATAGTGGATAGAGAATAGACAGTGTTAGACTATAATGGAATTAAACTGTATTATTTCAGGCTGCTATAATAGCTATAGAACAAGCCAAGTCAAAAAATATAGATAAACTTGTGTTATATACAGATAGTGAATTTCTTATCAATAGTAAGTACTAATAATCATCACCATCATCTATAATCCATATTAATTAACATCAATCCAACCTTAGTCAATCATGTTATAAGTTATTATATCATGTGTTATGCTGTAAATACTACTTAAAGGAATAAGTTCACTATCTGTTTGATGGTACCTTAGTTTCAGAAACAGGTTTTTTTTGGCTGAGCCAATCAGCAATAGTGTCAATTTGATCCTTCAATTCCATGTGTGTCCAGAAAAACTCTCTTTCCTTGAGACTCCACCATATATAAAAAAGATATATTAAAAAAAAAAAGGCAAAATTTCTAGTTTGAAGTATAATTGAAGGAATTTTTGTGCAGTTTTAGTACTTCTTAAGTTATATTCAATACCCAAATTAACTCCTGGAAATAGAGAACCATTGCATTAATGATATAATACTTATATTAACATTGGAGATCATTAACCATGACGACAAATAATATGACATATTTCAACTATATTGCAGGTATAACTAAATGGATAGATGGTTGGAAACGAAGAGATTGGAAACTAAGTACTGGTAAACCTGTTATAAATAAAGAGGATTTTGAGGAATTAGACAAAGCATTAGAAGGCATTAATGTAAAATGGGTTAGTATCTAGAATTTTATTTATCATGTACATAGCAAGTGCTCAATACATCAAGTGTACTATATACAATACTCAATGTTAATACATCAAAATAGAACAGAACCTGAAACATGTTGTTACACTTTGCGATCTTCGGACAACTGAACTATTTCAGCCTGTGTCCTTACTGAAGTTTGAGTACATCTCATGTCTGCACTTGTATTTTGTATATATTTAAGGTTTATGTCAGAGGTCATTGTGGAAATCCAGGCAATGAGGCTGCAGATAGATTAGCTAATGAAGGTGCTAGATCTAACGTGAATGGAAAATGAATTATTGGCCTTAACATCACATCACCTGTCCAATTCCTCAGGTGTGATATTTGGATGTGATGTGATGCTGTCACTGTTAATTTCATTCAATCTGACCCATTTTTGGGTGACAATATCACAACCATATTTCCATTGGAACTAGGTAGGGCAAGAGTTGTCAGGCTTAGATTCTCTGAGCCTGATTCTTCCTACTGCCTTTAAGGTACCGTATTCACCTCACTGATTGACTTAATTAGAACTCAGCTTAAATGCAAATGATTGGAGATGTATAGTAGATAGACAGGATGTGATCCAGAACCAAAACTGTCCTGTCCTTGGGTTTTGTAGTTGATTGTGTGATTAAAACGTTACAGGTATTCATAAGTAATTTTCTGACTTTTAGCTAAGTTGGTGGAAAGGTTGATTGTGGTCTGTGGGTTCAAATCCCTCAAAAGGTTAGAACAATTCTGATTCTTCAGTCCATGCTTTCATGTGTTTATCTTTGTGTCAGAATAAAAATCAACAAGCAAAAACATACTTTCATTTATTAATGCATAACAAAACAATTTGAGTTACATAGGCTTGTTATTGACATGAACTTGACACTTGGTATATAAATATTTTCTCCAATTTCTAGTTCATCACTTACATAATTATATAAGTATATTTTATACATTTTGGTAGCCTATCAACTGAGTGAGAAAGATAGTCATTTAATAGTTCTTTATTTTTTACTGTTAAAATTTATCTCACCACAGCGACCGAAAAAATATCAGGCAACAATAGAAAACAAAGGTAAAATGCAGGTAAAATTTGTGGGCCTGTCCCCAAAAGACCTCTGTATGCTTAGATATTATGTATAAAATATGATTATGTTCACATTGAATCAGAGGATCTATTTTAAAAGTCACAATTATGCTAAGGAACCAGGCTGTGTTGCTACAGTGATTTTGGCAAAGGATATATTCCACCTAATTTTAGGACACTTTTCTATTTCAATGTGAACATTGTTTAGAAGGCAAGGTAATAAAGGCAGAGAATCAACAATCTTAAATTGATAAATATTACATCGTAATAAAGGAAGTATTAAGCCTATTTTTAAAATTTGATACAGTCCCAGTTTCAGAGAAAAATTTGAATGTGTGAGGTAACCCACAGAAAATGTTAAATTTTTTGTAGTTGAAATTTGGCTTTTGTGCTGAAAAGAGGTCAAATCTGTAGTAAAATTAAATATAGGCTTAACAATCCCTTGGATTTTGTATATACAAATAAATACATTTCTTTTCTTATGAAAATATAAAGAGATATACAATTATTATACATATATTTATGTAATATAATGTATAATAAATATTTAAATAAATAAATTCTATAAAATCAAATGTAATAGAGACAGCTTTCTGTCAGGTGGGTGTTTGTGTTGATTTACTTAGTATATTATAAAATATCAAAATCAGCTCTCAACCCCTAATACACTATCCAGGATCAGTGAAGCATTATCCTAGATCAGTAAATCTGTTTGTAAGGTAAGTGATACACTATCCTAGATTAGTGATATACTATCCTAGATTAGAGATAAACTATCCTAGATTAGTGATAAATTATCCTAGATTAGTGATACACTATCCTAGATTAGTGATACACTATCAACCTATCCAGATTCAGTGATGCACTATCCTTGATATTCTAAATCAGTGAAAGGCCATCTTAGATCAGTGATTTTACTATCCTAGATTAGTGACACACTATCCTGAATCACCAAAACACTATTCTTGGTCAGTGACACAATATCCTGAATCATGAAACACTATCTTAGATCAGTGATACACTATCATGGATCATGAAACACTATCTTATGTCACTGATACACTATCCTAGATCATGAAACACTATCTTAGGTCAATGATACATTGTCCTGGATCAGTGGGACACTATATCAAATTAATATCAGTTAATATCAGTTATCTAAATCATCATCACTATAATAATCTCTCCTTTCATCGTTGATCTCTTGTGCTGAAAATTTTTGGCGTAATAAATCCAGTTCAGCTAATTCAACCTTAAATATGAAATATTAAAATTTTTAGTTATATATTGTACATATATACAATTATATATGATGCAAAGTGGAATGTTATTGATCCCTGACTTCCCAAATGCGGGGTGGTATTACAGTTTAAAAATAAAGATCGACCAATCCGCATACTCACTCTTATTTGTTGTAGATGATAGTGTCTTCTAGAGGCTACTGATTTCATTGGAAATGGATTTAGTTCATGGAATGCTATCTGGAAATATATTAAATATAAAATATATTGACATATCAATACCTTCAAAACAAATAGTAAAAAAGTAAAAATTAGACTGTTTCAGACAGCAATGATTTAGAACATTAGTTCATGAAGTTCTTACATTTCTGAAAAAGTTTGAGCTAATGAAGACAAGCTGCATGGCAATAATCTACTTGGCTTTACCTGAATGATGCGTTTAGAATTTGTAAGTTTTTCTCCAATAACTCTCATATATCTGTTAATGGCTAAGGCACCATCTTGTAATAATATGTCATCTTCCACTAGTTTCAGAAAGGCAATTGCAAACCTAAACATAACCTGAAATTCAAAACCAAAGCTCTGTTTTTTTCCCCTAGTTTACTGTTATCATTCCAGATCTGAATAAGTTCTTCAAAACTATAAACAACCTCTACAGCATGCAGATTGCAAGCTGACTGAGATTAGAACCCATGACCGCAAAATTGTTTGAGATAACCAAGCAAATGATGTCAAATTCCAATGCCAAAGCCTGTCCTTAAATAGTCCAAAAGAATCAAATGAAACTTTTAATAGCCTACCTTACTGCCCTCGTATAAGAAGGAATCCCAAACTTTAAGAAATGTTTCTGGTGGTACATTATCAACAAATACAGTAAGAAACCATGTAAAGGTAAACAATGATAAGTCGACTTCGTGGTTTTCGAAATGATTGTATAATTTTGGTAGTTTCTCTTGAACCAAATCTTTTAAAACTCTCTGAAATAATCAGATTTTTTATAATTGAAATAACTACCTTAAAAAATATTAAAGGCGCCCTCATACCATAGAGATTACCAGTTGATGTAAGAATATTAGTCATAGGGTTGGAACGCAATTCTCATGCAACTGAGTTGTGTTTGTACTCATGATCACTTTTTATACGCCCACATCTCTCTCGGCACCCCCGTCGGTCCGTCAACATTTGCTTGTAAACGCTTTTTTTGATGGAATCAAATGAAATTCGGTATTTGTATACATATTCATTTTCAACTGTTAGAAGCAGAGTTATTACCCAGCATATATGACTGTGGTCCACTATCTTATTATTCGCAGCCACATGCAACTGGTGATACTCTGATGTCAGAGTACCTTTAAGAGCGAGTATGCACCATTTTATTACATCATGTACTATTTTATCATATATTATAGTCCAGGCCATGTATTCTCGAAAACGATCTTAGGGCTAGGATATCCTTGGTTCTTATCTTCTAACATTGATTCTAGGATATCCTTGGTTCTTATCTTCTAACATTGATTCTAGGATATCCTTGGTTCTTATCTTCTAACATTGATTCTAGGATATCCTTGGTTCTTGGTTGAAATCCTACCTGATCTGCCTGTGCAGCAGCTAATGTTTTAGTGTAATAATCTTCAGGCATTATGTGGTCCACAATAGCCACTAAACACCAGAATGACTCTTCTTCTGTTAAAAATAATAAAGCTATAGCTACTAGACGATTTAAACCCTGCAATTGATACAAATAGTATGAAGATGCAATGAAAATGGTGTTTTTGAAATCTTCGAGGTCTCAATTTTGTAAATACTTATAAAAAAACCTGCGTTAAACATCCAAATTTTATTTAAAAAAATAAACAAACACAAAATTCTTTAGAAAACTTATTAGGCCTATAAGAACTGTATCTTTGATAACATTTTGAAGCATTACTTTATAAGAGTTTAAATAAAATTTAAAGGATTGAAAAGAGGTTTTCTAGACTTCTAATACAGCTTCTAATTGCATTTTCACCCATTTAGAATGACTTTCGTCTTGTCGATATAAATTTCTGCACTATACACAATGGCTAATGGTAATCAAATGGCCAGTATGGTTCTTTAACAGGTGTTGCTTAACAGATTACTTGACATAATATTACATTCAATACACAGCAGGTCATTAGTTTAAATCCATATCATTTAACTAGTGTGAACCTCATGACCTAGTCTACAGATTGATATTGTTAGCTGGTCATTAATTATGTCCGTAGGTTGGGATTACAAAACACATTGTTGGATCAAACGCGTAGGCCATAACTTGTACGTATTAATATATGATACAGACTCTCTAGTATTCTAGCTAATATAACACAAGAATTTCATAATTTTTCACTTTGATAGTTTTTGTAAGCGTCTAGATGACCAAGACAACATTCGAATTAATTTAAAGGCAAAAATAGACTTGAACAATTAGACTCTTTTCATGGATTGATCATGATTGTCTTCTGTTTTGAAGTTGTTTATGTGCTTTTTTTGCTGCTCGTTCCTTGCTCAAGTTTAGTTGGTAATGATTGGGAAATAGACAAGAATCAATAAGTTTTTTTACCTGACAATAACCAATTATTGGATTGTGCATACTGTAAGCTAATAGCACTTGGCGTAGTTTTTTAATACCATCTGAGTCCAAGCTTTCAAAATGTAGATTGGTTGGTAAGGTACGAAGTAAATCTAACTCTATCTGAAATTCAATTGAAAATAATAACAGTTGAATTCTGAATCTGGATGATTTTAAAGATGGTAGAAATTACCATCCTTTTTTTCTGCCAAAAATAATGAAAATAGACAAACCACTTGTGCCATGAAAGTAACTTTTTCCAGCTTCTTCAGAAGTTCACTGACCTGTTTGGCTGCAGGATTATATTTACTAGTTTTGGCTCGTTTGACTAAATCTGTATAGTAAGAATGTCCCAATTTATGTTTCGTTTCACCAACATGAAGATGGATGCATCTATAAAATAGAAAAAAAACCTTGAATCTATAAAACCAAATCTTAACTTATAACAATAAAGGAGTGATCTAATATAATTAAAATATGAATCTAGACGTTTTCTTTCTTTCTGTGGTTGACTCCACTTGCCATCCATGATCTGTCTTAATTTTTGCATCACTTTAGTTCAAAAATACCGCTCGTGTTAATGTTCTGATTTTCCTAACAAGATAAAGATATTTGCTCTACTAGGAATATTTATAGCATACCCTTGCCATATCTTTTCTCTATGATCATGTGGTATTCCCGATCTAATCAAAGTCTTTAATTCATGACTTCTGACTAGATATTTACCACTCTGTCCAACCATAAAATTCTCCCATTTTACATGATGTGATGTGACTTCTTCGGCTTCCTGATAAACAGAAGAAATTTATACATTTTATATTAAGATCCTTAATATGAAGGTGCAGAGTTAACACAAGATGACACAAAGCAAAGGAACCAAAAATCACCAAGAGAAACAAACTAAAGACCACCAAAAAAGAAAGGAACCATATTCCAGCAGAGAGAAAGTTAAAAAATTTCACCAAACAGAAACAGAAAGGAATCAAAGACACAAGAGAAGGTAACAAGAGACAATCCAACAGAAAGGAATCAAACACCACCCAGCAGAAAGGAATAAAACTAGACCTCCCAGCAGAAAGGTACTCTAGATAACACTGCAGAGATGAACAAAGAACATCCAACAGGTAGAAACCACAGACCACCCAAAGAAATGAACTAAAGATTGCCCCAAGGAAAGATTCACAAACCATCCAGCAGAAATAAAACCAAACACCAACAGAATAAAAAGCAACATTACCTAGCATCAAGAACCAAGGACCATCTAACAGAAAGTAACCAAGGATCATCCACAAAAAAATCTAAAGGATATTTCTAAAAATACAGTAGAAATCCACTAAACATCACCCAAAAGAAAAGAATCAAAGAACTCCCAGCAGGAAGGAACTAAAGCTCACAAGGCAGACATGAAACAAAAATCATCCAACAGGAAGGAACCACAAACCAGCTAGCAGAGAGAAACCAAACCAACTAGAAGATGACCTGGCAAACAGAAGCCATAAACTCCCCATGGACAAAGAACCAAAGACCACCAAATGGCAAAATGGAACCCAAGATCACAAGGATCACATAGGAAAAATGAACTACAAAACCCAAAAAGTTGTATGATTTTATTTCACATACACATACATACCTTGACTCTACCATTCAGTATATCTGATTGTTGTTGTAACTGACCAGCTCGTGATAATATAAGATCTTCATCATCATCAACCATTAACTTCTGAAATCCATATCTATCATATTCCTGACAACTAGAAATAATTACTATATTCATTATCCTTCTCATGAATTGTTTATATATATGTATTTACTATAAATATATACTTATTGTGTAATTTCAGTATAATTAAGCGTGTAGTTCTTTTATAAATGTACTTTATTATGAGTCGTTATTCTCTTGTTTATGTGTTATTTACAATACCAAATTTTAGTCATGGGTATTTCATCATAAAGACTGAAAGTATCCACAATAAAATTGATAAAGTGATAGCTGTTGAACAAAAACATAACTATGTAGGCTTAATGAATGGGGACAAAGACCATCAGCTAGTTATATCTCCGGTAGTAACCTACCTTTGTGATGACATAAACAACCGATGTCTGTCAGCTTCTTTTTGTGATTTTTCTGATTCAATAGCATCATCTAGTAGTTGTTTAATAATTTCTTGTCTCTTACTATCCTCTTTTTCACCACCTAAAAAGTTGCAAGCAGAAACATTTGTTTGACCAATCATACTTTAGTCTCATTAACTGAAATTATTTAGCTGAGCTAATCAGTAATATAGTGTTCACAGCTCACCATTGAAATTTGAGCCTTCAAATCCATGTGTGTCCAGAATTATCTGCGATTGAATGTTAAAATGACGACTCGCTAATTTAAGATACCCTGTGATATATAGAAAAGACTATATATAGAAATAATGAGTAAAATTTCTAGTTTGAAGTATTTTAAAGGAATTATGTGATTTTGGTATATTTCTAGTACATGTACTTCTGAAGATTATTTACATATATTTAAGACTTAAATCAACCGTCCCAAAATGGCACATCTTTAGATAACATTGCAAGATTCAATTACCTCTTCTTCTAAAAGGAGATTTAGATCTACTCCTTCTTTTTTGACCTTGAAGTCTGACTCTACGTCTATATCTTTGATTGTCCAACATTATAGCTGGAATAGTGTTCAATCCATCATCTAAATCCACACATAATAACCGAAATAATGTTCGCGACATTTTCTTAATGGAAATCTGTATAGATCTGATAAATATTTACTAAATTTCTGTTAACCAGTTTGTGTTATATCTGTTAAATTACATAGGTAACATCCATTATGTTCATTACCCCCCTAAAGAAATCCACACCTGTTATTTCAGTAGTTTTGCCATTGTATACTTCTATTTTATATTTTCAGCCAATCAATTCCTGTTCAGAAAGCCCACTCCTGTCCAGAATCTCACTCCTGTTAAGAAATTTAAAGCACTTTTGCCTCTTTATACTCTTTATATTTCTATTTCTATATTCAAATAATAAAATCCTGTTTAGTAATCTCACTCCTGTTAAGCAATTTAAAGCACTTTTGCCTCCTTATACTCTTTATATTTCTATATTCAAATAATAAAATCCTGTTAAGTAATCTCACTCCTTTTTGGTAATATCAAGCACTTTCGCCTCCTTATACTCTTCTTATTCAAATAATCAAATCTAGTAACATATACTACTACTATACTAATACCATCTACTAATCAATAATATTACTATTGACCATTTGATATGCAGTTCTACTTAAATAAGCTTATATTTACTATACTTTAAAAATATCTCCACATAGCCATTAATATTTGTTAATATGAAAATGAAAGGTAAAATTCATGTAACAAGAAATATACAGAAAGTGTATGCATTGGGTTGAGTTGTAGTCATTTACATAATGTCTTAATAAATTTCTAAGGAAATATTGATTATATCAATTGTTACCTACTTGCTCTAAATTGAAATATAATTAAGACTGCTGACTTGCCATTGATAATATTATAAACACACAGAGGGCCTACACATATGTAACCTTCAGCACGTATTTTATATTCTTGATGACATTACAGTTATTTCATTGAGAAATATCCAAAAACAATTCAAGAGAGAAAGAAATAACCACATATTACAAGGATAACTACTAAGATTCACAAGGAATCCTTGGCCATAAATCTTTCCCTGATTATCCATACTCATTACAGGGAAAGATGCGCCATTTTTGGGAGTTGGTTTGAGTGTTGAATATATGTAAATAGTCTTCAGAAGTACTAGAAATGTTAGAAAATCACATAATTCCTTTAAAAATGCTTCAAACTAGGAATTTTACTTCCTTTTTCTATATATGTCTTTTCTATATATCACAGATCATTCCAAAACTAAGAGTGCTCAAGCATTCTTAAGGGACAAGATAAGGGCAATAACTCTATTTCTAACTGCCAGAAAGCTCTCAAATTTGAACCTGAATTTTATTCATGATTTTTTTGTAGATTCTATGGAAATGTGAACTAATGGACAGAATGAAGGAGGGACTGACATCAAGAGTGCAGACAAAATAAGTCCACTTGAAGATTCAGGCATATACAAAGGTAATAAGTAACAATTATTATTATTATTTACTTAGAAACGGATAACAACCCAGCTGTGTTTATAAAGGGCGGATATTTTTCTGCATTTACATAACCTAGTTTCAACTAACTAATCATATTTTGTTCAATATATATTGTAATTCTTAAAGGGGGTATACCATGTACCAGCTTCATTAAAGCAGGAATCCTTACCTAATCTTTTCTACAAATATGCAACATGTATGTATATGTAAGGATTTTGTTAATATTGTGAACCCAAAACAAAATCCAATAACTCACCTAATACAGGCGTTTCCACTTTCTTTAGTAAATATAAATATTTACTTCTTGTTTGTAAATAATCACCTTCTAATTCAGCTCTGTTCCTAAAATCAAAGACAAAAACAACAGTCTAGATAGATCACGCAATACTTACATTAACAACAATATATACAAATATCACACAACATATTAACAACAGTCTAGTAAGATCACAAATTAACAACAGTCTAGTAAGATCACAAATTAACAACAGTCTAGTCAGATCACAAATTAACAACAGTCTAATCAGATCACAAATTAACAACAGTCTAGTAAGATTACAAATTAACAACAGTCTAGTCAGATTACAAATTAACAACAGTCTAGTCAGATCACAAATTAACAACAGTCTAGTAAGATCACAAATTAACAACAGTCTAGTAAGATCACGCAATACTTACAATAACAACAATCTAAAAAGATCACACAAAACTTACATTAACAACAGTTTTTCTCTATCTACATCATGTTGTCTTAATTCATTTAATTCCAATATTTCTTTGGTTAGAAATTTATTCTGCATTTCATAAGCTGTACATGCAGCCTGAAATAGATTTCATAGAAGAAATTTGCAAATTTTTTTAGACTCATTTCTTCAAAAATCTTAAAACCTACTACTGAATTGAGTTGTAAGTTAACAATCAAGTCAGTTTCTTAGACAATATGAAAATTATCAGTATCAGTTTGATCCAATTTAAAAATTAATTCAATCAATCAAATTGTAAATTGGTCCTGAGAGAGTTCCTTCAAAAACATTCACAAACCTTTAGATTATCAATTTCTCTAGACATTTCCAGGAATGAAGCCATACTTGGTTCTTCTGTACTTTCTAAAGTTAGTATACGTTGATCAGGTAGAATAACTTCATTTAAATTTGGCATATTGGTAGGGTTTATTGATTTGGTTGGCGCTGAGGTAGTGGGAAGATTTTGATTTAGTTTGCTTTCAAGTTCATAAATTTGCGTAGTCAACTGTTCAACTATTTCATTTTTAGCCAGTAACATTTCTTGTAAGACACTCGAGTGTTCTTTGATTGCAGCATTTTCACTTTCATATTGTCTGCAAAATAACAAAGTTAAGGTTGGAGTAAGTCAAAAAACATCTGTCTCTGCTCCACACTAAGATAGCTATTTTGACAGTTATGGGCTGAAGTAGGGTCAGAAAAACTTGGCTTAGCCCTGTTTAACGGTAATTTTCTGCACCTTAGAAGGTGTAACAGTTTCCAACACATTCATTTACAGTTTCTCCAAACCCTGATAAATTTGTAGTTAATTATGTTATGTCTGGAGAGTATGTTGTAGAAAATGTAAGGGTATACTATAGATCTAATAATGCTGAGTGCAGCACTAATCCAACATGGTAGACAAGTTATTTTATCACCAAGTCATAAGAGGGGAATTTAGATTTTTATGCTAATCTTCAATAAACCTGATGAATTTTGATGCATAGAAAGCAGTCCTATTACCTGGCCTGTTGAATACAAGTTGATTTATCTTCTTGTAATAAAGATAATGTATGTTGTAATTCTATGATGTATTTATCTTTAGTTTTGATCAATTCTAATAACTCTTCTTTATCCTTATCTTCACATTCCTTCCTACAAAATTTATAAACTCTTTTCCTACTGTTTTTTAAATTAACAGAGATTTTAATCAAGGCTGTACGAAATTACACCATTTATTTATATTACACTATGTTCATTCTGTTTTATCATACTTGATCATAGATGGCAGGTGGAATCACATATTTACATCAGAGTGTATTTGCAACATGCTGGTATTACATTTTGGATTGGTTATAGGGACAGATTCGCCACCATTTGACAAAGAGTACCTTAGTCCCTGAAAACAGAATTTCCAGCTAAACTAATAAGTAATAGTGTTCACAGCTTAGAAATTTGAGCCTTCAAATCCATGTGTGTGCCGAATTATTTGAGTTTAAAAGTTAAAATGACGCCTTTTTTTTTCTTGATACTCTTCCATATAAGTGAAATTTCTAGTTTGAAGTATATTTAAAGAGATTATGCAATTTTCGTGCAAGAAATTCTGAAGACTATTTACATATAGTCAAGACCCAAATCAATCCCCAAAAATGGTGAATCATGGCCTGTCTGTAACTAGTGGTCCGTTATCACCCTCAGACACATGTGAGAATGAATAAAAACCAATATCATGTATATGTTTGAAAATATAACTGTAACCTACTGAGTATTACTGGTGGTCATTTGATTATCAAGTTCTTTCTGTAATAATTTCACTATCTCTCTATGAGCATGTAATTCATCCCCAGCATATTGTAAATCAACTTTTAAGGATACATTTTCTTCATATAACTGGATTTTGAAAATTAACAATTAGTATAAAAAATAATATACGAAGTATTTTGAAATGTCACCAACCAGACATCTGATTTCCCTTCTGAAAAAGGCTACAGACATTGAGTATACCTTTGAAACCAAACTACTTGCATTTGCATCATATCATGTTCTACCCTTTTAGAAAAAATAAACTACTTGATCAGCAGTAGGATTTGATATTAATTTAATATAATGTGCTTTCAAAAAAAGTAAATTCAGATAGAATTAAGCAGATTCTAATGTTGAATGGAAACTATGAGTGTCAAATACGAAGGCTAGAAAACTCCATTTGACAAAAAATCAAAGCAGGCCTACTTACATGTTTACACCTAACACATGATAATGTTGTGGATGTCTTAATACTGCTCTCACTTGAAGTTCTCTTACCGATTTTAATCTTCTTTAAATTAGAGAAGAATTTAGGTTGGTATTTACTAGTAATAGGCACTGTTTCTGTAGCCATGTTGCTTGAATCAAGGGAATTGTCTGATCCTAAAAGAGTCCACTCTTCAAGATTAGATATTGAGGTATTAGGAGATGATGTAGTTGATTGCTTATCTGGAAAAAATCATTGAAAAACCTGAATTACCATCAGATCATTAGAGTCAAGAGAAATTATAATGAAGCAGGGGACATGTGCACTTGCAGATGAAGTAACAATGAACAGAATATATCAAAAAAATTCTCTAGAATTACCTGTAGGAGACTGAATCTGTGTTTTTAAAGTAGAAAAAGCATTTTGAATATCAGATTTTAACATTGAAGGTAAACTTTTTGGTTTGTTTGGTGCCGTTAATGTCGTTCGACTAGAATTTGATGAAGTATTAGGTAGTGGCAATATCAAAGAAGGCATGGGACCATCCAATACAGCCTCTTCTACCTTTTCTGGTTCATTTAAAGCTGCTATCAAGCCATGAGACTGTTGTCTCTTCTTAAAATAAAAGTTCAAACATAATTATCAGCTGCTAACAAGCAAGACTTTGTCTCTTCTTAGAATAAAATTTTAACATCATTAACAGCTGCTAACAAGCTATGAGACTGACATTGTCTCTTCTTAAAAAAAGATCATTATTAGCTGCTAACAAGCCATGAGACAATTGTCATTTCTTGAAATAAAGTGAGTACAGCCTGTAGCACACAGGGGCTTAGTTTATTGTCCCATCATTACTAATATTATCATACAATATTATTCAATTTTGGTTCTTCAAGGACTTCATTATTCTATCGAAGTCACTTCTGGAAAGATCTTATCTTTAAAAGATATAATACCTTGATAGTAAGTTGCAGACGTTCAGAGGATAATGTTGTTCTTTTCTTACTATATTCTCTTCTTTTAGTTTGAAGTTCTTGTAACCAATAATGCATCTGATGTTGACTTTGTGCATCTAAATAATGAGTCTTCCCTTCAGATCTATCATGAAAGAAAGAAATGTCTACAATTCCTACAAGTGTGTGTGTGTAAAAAGTACTATATTAGGTTTTATATGAATATAGCAATGAGATTTTTGTGCCGTCCTGTAGGCTAGCAGATGCCAAAGGAAAATTTTGATTTGTTGTCTGTGGTTCTCGTAATTCCAAACTTTAACAGATTGTTACTCCACTATTGCAAAAAATGTCTCAAATTGTACCAGTGCTAAAGTGACATAATAATCAGGTCAAGCTTTTCTAGAGCTACAAACATCACAGATGTTCGATAAGAAAGATGCTACTGTATGTGTCCAAGTGTTGCTCTATTGAATATGTACATTTTTGGTGAGCAATTGTCCTATTTCTCATTTCTTTGGTGAGCAACTGTTCACTAGGCAACTGTTGGTACCGTACCCCATGTGTCCATGGTAGACCAAGGCAATCTCTCATGAATTCCTAAAATGCTATGAATTGTAGCCTATGTGGGCAATACACTCTCTTGAAGTATACAGCTTTCAGAGAATAATCCTTACAGTGTAGACTGTAGTAGGTAACCAGGATGTGTCCACTTACTTTAAAATACATCCTACTTATACACTCATTAAAACTCTTAAAATATTCAAGAGTTGTTTTTAAAAAAAACTTTTAACAGTGTCAATTCTAAATTTCGATAAACTTTGTCATTTGTTTTAAACGTTTTGTCAATGAGATTAAAATACCACTAGGCCTATCGGTAATAATATAATCGTTCAATGCTATGATCAACAAGGTCTTTATTATGAATCAATATAATATTACTCTTTCCGTCTGTCGTCTTCATTAGTTTCTAGATGACTTACATTGGATGAAAGTTGTACTGTGCTACAGATCTTTAAATTTGATCATCTTATTGTGTCTCTAATTTTGGGATTTCCACATTTAACCGAAATATAGTTTTGGTAGGTTAATATAATAGAGGGAACAATTAGCTTTATAAATAAATTGGGACAAAGTCTAACGAATGCTTATGAGTCATAGGCTACTCTCAAACTGTAACGGATAACTTATTATGTAATACCAGACCTACTTACCTTATTTCTAACACTCCACTCTGAAGTTTATCTTGATCTACATTATATTGAAATGATGCATTAGATATGTCAATTTCTCCTTGAGGCAGCAAATCATTTGGATTTCTGTAATAATACAATTTGCAAGTGTCTTCACTGAAGATAAACCACATTACTTTGTTTGTCTTCACAAATCCCATCTTTCCAACTTTTGTCAACCACCCACACAAACGTATTGACTGGCCTGTCACATCCATTTTATTTTCAGCAACAGGCCTAGACTCTGTGGTACTGCTGTCAAGCTCTTCTTCGACCGACTCCATTCCTGTTTGTGAAGCAGGGGAACTGTCATTTTTACTTCCTCCAACGTCATTGTCATTTGACGCTTTTTCTTCCTCATTTTCAATTCTTAAATGTTGCATTTTAGTTTCAGAAAGGTAATTAAGTCTGCCAATGTCATCGCAACAATAGAATACGGCAACACCCCTCGAACTTTCGTCCATTGTACTTTCATTTTTATCAATTGTTTACTTCCGTCTGTTCAACGTTATCCAGTCTTAAAGCGCCATTGATAATCCTTACTGAGTATAATTGCTGGATATTCACGACTATATTTATAATACCTTTTGAACCTTCATCAAAGAAAACCTTTACCAAGGACAGTAATTGAAAAAAAAAACAGACAACAGTTATATTAATCATACTTCCGCAATTCGGTTCAGTTTCTGTAAATTATTAAATACCTAGTTGTTTTAAATAATAATTTCTTTATTTAAGAGCGTCAAAACAAAGCTCATTTTACAAGTGACTGGTATGTAGGCCGGCCTCTACAGTATTACATTGTATTTTGTATTTATTATGCTGTCAATTTGTCTTTGAGGTCTTATGAATCCTATGGGGCAGCTCTCTAAATATGGAGTTAAATTTCCCAGATTAAGGCAGGAACAAACATGAGCTAGATCAAGTCCATTGTATCCAGGGTATGGGTTTTGACATATTCTTATTAACTCTAATTAGTTTGGCAAATTTGGCTTGTGGTTTATGATGGACCAAGAGATAGTAAAGATAATGAACTGGAATATTTTGACACCCAAACATCACAGAAGTCAACCTTAGGGTGAGTTTAAAAAGCAAAGTCAAACAAAAATACAAATGTTATTTATTATTATATACTGATACATAACACTTTCTGTATAAAAATCAAATTATTTGTTAAAGAATAATAAAAATAAACTAAGATTTGACAAGCTTCATTTTCAGCTACAAAAGGAAATCAGCCATGCTGAAACCAGGGAGAATGCGAGTCAGACAATAAAACAGATATCTTCTACATTTCTTCAGCACATTATTATATCTTTCGATTGGCTTACCCATCAAACAAATAACAAAAAATATGAATTTAATCAGATAATTTTTTTCACAAATTGGCACGAAATGAAGTTAATCGTCCTCAAAAGCATATTCATGAATTTTTTCAATTTCATTTTCAAAACCACGAAGCACTCAAAAGCACCGGAAGATACAAGCTACCCATGGAGTATTTCTTATTTCTAGTGAGCTCCCATTACTGAATTCTTTGCTGTTTCCTGAAAAATACATATATTTATCAAAATACGATCCAAAATATGACAAATACAACAAACTAATGGGGTTTCCATTTTTGCAATTGATAGCAGATATTCTAAGCAGACTAAACTAAACCAAACAACTACCATGCAATTACCATTAATAAAATTACCAAAAACTGTCAGTGGAGCCTTTAAACTGGATGGAATCCTTTCAACTTGTAGTGTAAGCATTAAATTTGCGAGATCATCATTGGATGTTCATGTCAGATAGGTTGGCTGCTTCTGGTATTCAAATGATCACTTACCTCATTTTTGTGTAGAATATCTGTCCAGTCTTCAGAGGCTATTTTAGGTATAACGTGTAATAGTAAATTAATTGCTTTATTGGCATTAGCTTTAAATGTCTTCAGTGCTAAATCAACACTAACCTATCAAATAAAAGATAATAAGACTTCCTCCCACAATTTATTTCTGCAAAAATGTTTAGTAAAATGCCATAGGTGTTTCATTTAAAAATACAATATTATTTGGTGTTGTATCAATGCTGGCTACACAATTGAAATGAATTCTATTAGTCTATTGGATAAGATTTCAACTGTCGGACATAATTTATAGGAATATTTGCCTCCAGAAAAAAAACATTTGAACAGATGTGCTCAATACAATACTTACTGCTTCATGGCTATCTTTCCAACAATCATAATCTGTTACTAGAGCTATAGAACTATAGCATAATCCAGCCTCATTAGCCAATACTACCTGAAATGACATTAAATCTATGTTGAATTTGTTATAAAAGATAATACCAAACACACACAAAAAAGGTCAAACTTGACTCTACTCTGTGAAAACCAACATATACGGAAATCCTTATAGCATCAAAATGAAATTATGAAAAATAATTCCATCTCTTACCTCTGGTACAGTACTCATATTCACTACATCAGCTCCTTGTAATCTCCATAATTTACTCTCAGCTTTAGTTGAGAATCTTGGTCCCTCAATAGTTATCATTACTCCATTATCATGGTGACTATATCCTAGTTCTTTACATGTTTCTCTCACAATCTATAACAATAGTTATTATAGAATCAAATTGGTTATTATTACGTTATTACACTAGTTATGATAGTGTTATGATGTTTTTTTTTTGAAAATTTCAATAATTATCGCATTATTATTACAGTCATCATTTAAATATTACAATAGTTATAATTACATCATTACAATAGTTATTACATATTTGTATTATTATATTATTACTAATACAATATGTTACCTTTCTGGTCTGAGCACAAAAAGGTTCATTCATTGGAATGTGGCAAATTCCTGGAGGAGCATTAGGTGAGCCATCATAAAAGGTTTGAGTTCTTTTATGAGTTCTGTAACAAAAACAAGTCCACTTATCACTCTATATAATGCATACATGTAAATACTATATAAATATTGTGCAAATCTGCATAAAATAAATTACAAATAATTACATGAACCACAGATATTTGTCCCAGCAAATAATTGGAAAAATGCAAATATAACCATAAATGGCCCTGATACACTTGTATACAAAGTTCAGAAATGCTCTTTACAACCCCTTTAAGATTTCATCTGAAAAATTCTACTAACCTATCTATAAATGATTCAAGTAAAACAAAATCACCAGGATGAATGTGTTCTTGTAATGACCCACAAGCCGTAGTTACTATAATATGAGTACAACCTTCTGATTTTAAGGCATGAATATTAGCTTGATAGTTGATGTATGATGGACCTATAGTGTGTTTTCTACCATGTCTAAAAGTGAAAAAGAAATATAATTCACAGTACAGTTTTTCTAAATAATTTTGTCATCTTAAATTGTGGAATTCTGCAAACATGCCCAGTTGATGTTAATGAATAGATTTTATAGATTACATACCTTGCTAGAAGAACACACTGAATACCTTTTACTGAACCAGTGATCAGAACGTCTGATGGCTGAAAGAAGTACAAACTAACAAAGTTTGATCTGAAGAAATGGTCATTTTTTTATGTCTCGGGTATTACTCACATAAGAGAATGAAAAATAGCTTGTAAACTTTATAATGTCATCATTTTATCACTATTCAATGGTGGACATATTGAAGGTCAGATTTTCATTATGAAAAGTGATATAGATGGCTGAAAATTTAGTGATATGATCTTTTCGATAACCAGAAACTAACCTTCCCATATGGAGTATCTACAGACTTTTCTTGTCTGTTTTCTAGTATATTAGGATCATCTAATCCAGAACCTCCAATTATTCCAACCTGTGATATAAAACAAAATCTAAGTGGATTAGGTATTTTAGGTTGTAACATTGTGGTTACGAAAGCACAGACACAGGCGTGCAACCCTCTGTCAGATTTTTAAAAACAGGAATTAAAAAGCGGTATCAACAAAGAGAAAGAAGCCTTTTAATCAATTCTTCGCAATTACCTTTCTCCACTTACCCTCCATTTCAAGGTTACCTAAAAAGTTAGCTTTGTCTAGCTTCAAGCCAGGCCACAAAACATGAATGCCCATTGGCATTTGACCGCCTTATCGTCTTGTCTCACTGACATTCGTGACAGAATGACATTTATTATTAATTCATCAGTTTATACCTTTACTACAACCATATTCTGTTCGTTTTTATAATTTTCTTCACGGGATCTATAACCACAAACTGTTTTCGTGTGTTAAGAATGTAAACATTAAAATGAAAGTAGGGCCTGCCAGTGCCAGTCAAGTAGCCCCACGTGCACTGTATAAAAATAAAAGGGAAATAACTCTTGTATATCCAGACCACTTTTGATTTTCTATATCACGATTTATGTTCATTTGTTCATCTGAACATGAACCAAGAAGTAATATGGATGTATTGCTTAAATTATGCTGGTAGATCTATTTACGTAAAGGGATATTTGGATTTAATTCCAACATGCAGAACTGGGCTTATTAGTGTGCGATATTATATGTCCAATGTATAGTATACCATTTCAAACAGAAAACTTGCACGAACGGTAAGGGGCATCATCCTCTAGGCCTCAATGTTTGCATACAATTTTATGTAGGCCTATTTCACGCTTTTAAAAACCCTTTTAAATGTTATCTTTTAACTCAAATTAACGTCTCTGCCGTAAGCGAAACCGGGTCCTTCAGGTTAGCGAGGAAGAGGGGTGCTGGTAGCATATAGCTGTAGCATACAGAATTAAAAAAAAAGTTGGATAGGTAAAACTATATAAAATTTATTGATTTATTTGTAACATTAAAGTATCTAGTGTTTAACACGGTGTAAAATAATAATATATCGGTAGGGGCGGGCAGTATCTTCAGTTCTTTCAGTACCTAAAAATAAGAAAAATGTTATATGAGCATAGTTGAGACCGGGAAACAGTCGTCTGAATTTCAAATCAGCTGACAACACGAACTTTAACTGTATCACATTTCATTGTTAAAATCTGAAGTCCAGTTCTCCTGCAATTCAACAATAACTTATAGCTTCAGTAGAAGCTTTGGCCATCGTCATTTTTGTCGTTTATTTTCGTGGGTATTTGCGTTATAAACTTGTCTGCTCGTCCTGTCTTTACCGATAACATTTAGTTTTGATTTATCGTTATTCATGGTAAAACGCTCATACCATGCCTTTCTAATATATAATGAGTTTAGCGCTTCGCAAGTCAGTCTAAATTGGGCTTGGTGCTTTTAACCAAAGGCGTTACTTACCATTCACATAAATGATCTGAATTACACCTGACAGGCATATTAGGTGGAGTAGTGCATGCACTGCAAATACCTCCTCGACTTGGACTGAAGGCGATTTGGTTTACCGTGTTTCCACTAAAAATAATAATAGAACAAACATAAACTTAGATATACACCAACAAAGCTAATTTTCACCTAATTCTTAGCTATAAAACGATCCCGGCTACCAGTAGCCTAATACACCAGTCTCTTGGATTGGCGTTGAGAACATGAAATGATTTGATAATCAGGGCTGGAAAAAGACCCGGATCATCTGCCAGAGCTTCGATATTTCATTCCAGGTGTCGGACAAATTACTTTTGTCTTCCCGAATTCCTAAAAAGGACTTCTATGAAGTATTAGCCTACAGCTTTATGATATTGACCACGTAGATCAAATATTTAGACAGCTAATATAACGTCCAAGAATTAAACGTCGGAATGCACAGCTTAACCAACCGACTATTTGTGCTCAGCAGTTACATATACGACATGCCATGTTATAGAATACATAAATTTAAATAATAATACTTACACTGGAGAATAAGAACAAGCAATAAATGACATATCACCACAATATTGGACAGCACAACCGACTTGTTTGGTATTAGCCCATACTGCCTGGAACGAATTAGATAAGGATTACATTTAGATTTCGATTTCGATTGGCAGATCTTAATAGCGACCGGATTTTCAACGACAGGTAACAACTAGCAGCAATCTGCACAATCGCTGAAAGGTTTTTGCCATTGATGAATTGTGGGGTTGCGTTTAAAATAACGTCAAAAGAACGCAACTGTTTGATTACAATGGAGCGGGTTAAAACAAACGAAATAGTAATGAAATTTTCAATGGATTAGGTAAAATAGACTTACCTGTGAATATCTACAAGTTTGCTGAATTGAACAGTTTTCACCCAAAGAAAATCGATTCTTTTCATCTGACCATCGACTCATAAATTCGCTGACTAAACTTGATCCGGTATATTTTTCATATACTGAAGCCAAGCTCGCTCCCCGACCTTGATTTACATATGAACAATTCATTACTTCCAAAGAAGCCTGGGCAGCCAGTTTTTCGCTCCATCTCTACAAAAATCATACAAATGTATATCTACTACCATTGTCGTATAACGTACACATATTTTCAAAACAGGACAAAATCGGAAATTTGGAATGACTCAAACATTTTACAAGCTAGATTACATTGTGGCATCCCAAAAAATAGTGTATATTTTGAGAGTTACTAAAAATCATATCATCATAAACCAGACAAGCTGATAAATGCGACATAATTATGGTAATTACTAATTGCAAAGCACAATGGTGTGGAATTTACTGGGTACTCACCAGAACATTCATTGCTCCTGTTCCTCTCTTTTGTACCACATCTGATCTAAATTTATTGTGTTCTTCAAGGATTTTAAATTTCTGCTCTTCATCCAAATTATAGGATCTTGTCAGACGCATCTGTTCGAAACTTGAAATATGGTTGTTGGTTCTGTATACATTTACATTGGGTGCAAACTGTCCTCCTAGAAATTGATTCTGAAATCGGCTCTGTTGTAGTGAGTTTCCCATGTAAGGAACGTTAGTGTTCATAAGCTCTGGTTGGTAGAGGGAATTCGCATTAATGTTGCTTTTTCTTGATATTTGGTTGGCGCTAGGCATAGGCATGCTGGATACTCCAGGAAGACTTGACGATGGTGCAGTATTTCCTCCTTGAGCTCCCTGCATCATCTGAAACGTGGCCAATAGCTTCTGAAGAGCAGCAAGATCAAATTTAGGACCACCTGTACCATTTGTTACTGGTGATGTCGATGTTGCTGGAGTTTTTGCTGCTGTGGTAACAGTGATTGGTTTACTTCCAATCGGTTTTGTCTTTTGAGAACATATAAGTCCAATATTGAAACAGAGAACTAGAAGTAGTTTAAACTCCATGATTGTCAGTGAACACTAGTACTTTCAACTTAATTTCTGAACACAAAGTTGTCTAATTCTGATTTAAATGGTTAATATATACATAAGTGTGTTTTTTATTGATACTATGACGTCCGTTGATTGATGGAATCAAAGAAGTTTTCCTCTTTTTTATAAAAATGATTGATTTAACAACAGTTTTATTCATTTTTAATGATTTAATGTTATTGATGGATGCACACCTATTTATTCTTTAACGAAGTCTTTGTTTTCCATTTAATTAATTCAAAATTTGCCACTTAATCGTGACAAACTTCATGAATATTCCTTGACACTATGAATAGTAACGTTAAAGGTGGCCATCCGAACAAATTTCAACTTTCATGGCTTGATCTACATTCAGAGCCGATCCATTTAAATGTTTGCAAGTTACTTAAACATCTTGGGTTCTACTCCAATAATACGTCTTTTGCAATTGACTTAATGTTCATTTCATACCGTCGGCAAGTGTTTCGGATACACAATCCTCATCAAGACAAAAGCTTAAACTTTCTAAAATTGGATTTATGGAGAAATACATTGAACAGGAGATGTAATCAGCTCAAAATAAGAGTAAAATAACGCACGAACGCAACATTCAGATTGCTCTATTCCCCAATTTAAAGAGATCAGTGATTGGTTCATGTCAAAAACTGTTTTACCTTGGCACTTAATATTTTAACACAGACTTAGCTTCTTCAATGTTTAATAAATTATTGAATCCGTTAAAGGGATTGCAAAGAGGTTTTTGAAAACTTTATGTGTATTGGCCACACTGATAGCAAAGAATGCACCATTCCAATTTTCAATGAAACGTCTGCAGTTCTCGCAATAGTTCTAAGACTAAGCGTTTTATGACGTCACTATCGCATACGCTGACAATGTTTTGCAATAGTGACGGCATAAAACCCCTACTTTTGGTAGAATTGCAAGAACCAGAGACATCTGACAAAAAATTGTTATGACTAAGATTGATGTTATCAGTATCTCTTTACAATCCCTTTAACTTAAATTACCCCTCTATAATAGGCAAATATGATAAGAAATAAAAATGTCTAAATACGAAATTTATTTGATGTACATACTTATTTTTACACAGTAAATGTCACGTTTTGTATATTCTTGAAATTGACGTAAGAACAAAATCAAGAGCATTTTTTTCTTTTTTTTAGAGATGAACTTTATAAGTCCAATGACAATTTTAGTCCGAAACTTTTCGACTCTTATCAGTTTCTGTTGGATATTTGCAATAGTTATCGCTGTTTGGGTTTTCCAAACATTCTTTCACCCATAAAACAAGTTCTTTCTGCATTTGTCAATGTTCCAAAGATTTATTAACTAAAACCTGATGAGAATAATTGCCACCTAGATGTACCTAAAAATGACAAAATTTAAAACCTTCATTGATTCTCGTTATCAGTAATATTCGCGCGAATAGATAACCATTTTTGGTCATATAATTATAGCCAATTTCCTTTATTTTTTTGGCTATTAAGATGATGTCGTCACACGATAAAATCAATCTGATCAAAATGTACATGTTTAAAATGGTTACATAACACATTTCAAAGTTTAGCTATAAATATCCAAGGACTGCAAACATACATGTATAGTAAGGAAAATGTTTGTGGGTGGGGGGGTATGTATGTCCTTTGCCGATAAAGCGGCATTTGCAAACTCTCATACAATCAAGGCATCTTTGACATGAAAAGCTGCAGCATACGAAGTCTTGGTCTGTAGGACATTTACTGCCACCGAGTCAATATTGTTCGGATTATGACATACTACGTTTGTTTGATAATTGACAGGAAGTTTATATTTTCATTGTTTCGACCTCATCCACCCACTGTATGATGTATAAACCTACATACTTTACTTAAAAGTCAAAGCACAGACAGGAAGTATAATGAAGTGACATCTTCACCATGCACCACTCCTTTTTTTTGTAGCATAGTTATCTTCTTTGGATAACACGAAGATACCATTTATCTGGAAAGCTGACAAGCACAGAGAGTCTGATGACGACACACTAGAGACATTTTCGGTTATGCACAATGAATTGACATCTTCACCATGTCAATATGTTGCCAAATGCGTCAAAAAAACATCAAAAGGCATTCTCCTTGAATTACTGAAGGTTGTAAATGTAGCGACTTATTGGACTGACTGTATGATGAAAATGTACCCAGAAAATGAGATAATTCAAAAACAATCGGCGTTTTATCGAGATATTTAATAACCATTACAATTCAATTTCCCTTATCTCTATAAAATAAAAAAAATATAAAAAATTTGGAAAGAAACTTATAAGCAATATTATTGACAAATCAAGCTTCTTTGACCACAGAATAAATTGTACCCTTCGTAAACATTCACGTTATGTTGGTCTTGAAAAATACCTGAAATTATATATTATCGATTGATATTATGGTCCCAAACTAAGTCTATTCAACTTACTGTTTTATGCAGTATAGTAATCCTCTCTTGGATTCCAAGAGACCGTTCGCCTGAAAAGTTGGCAAGCACAGTGATAATGCACTAAGGACTTTGTCGGTTTAAAATAATTACCTCGATGGAGCAGAAGAGTGTAAGCAATGAGAGGACTGTGATGAAAAATAAGTATAAGATATTCCAGCGTATAATATAGTAAGACGGACAAGTCGGGTATGGAAAAACATTTGTACATTGGTGGGTCGTTTAATTCTTGACGGATACTTACCATTCACAGAGTTTATCTTTATTACATCTTGGAGTTGAACCTTGGGGTGCTGAACATTTTGTACATGGTTCACCAGTAAGATAGGGTAGTTCATCTCTTACATTTCCTCTATAATGCAAATTCAATGATTGGCAATATATAAGTTTTCTAAAATATACTGTTTAATCAAACTTCCAGATTTGCCGAATGCGGGAAGACTCTATTGGTAGTTTAAGTGGACGCTCTTTGTAGAATACTGTTAATAGTTCCCAGTATACAACGGATTAAGGGTTAACTTTCATAGTAAAAAATTCCTTCCCAGTAGAAGGCGTGCGGATATCGGGGTTTCCGGATTATCGGCAACCGGATAAACGCGGATCCACTGTATTCCAAATGCATGAGAGAAGAGATTATCTCTTGAAGGAAGACAAGGATCTGTTTAGCCAACGGTGAAGTCCACTGTCATTGTGAAAGTATTCGCACATACGACTTGGGGTTGCTTTGAGTTGAATACGTCATTTGATTTTTTGCGGTTTTGTACAAGAACATTTAATATGATTTCCAACAGATCTAAAAGAACGATTGAAGTTTTAGAAATATCGCAATACTTACGGAGGATCAAAAAAACACACCAAATACGTCATATCGGCACATCTTTCAGCAGCACATCCAACTTCTTTAGAATTTGCCCAAACAATCTAAAATCAATAGTATGTAACACCATTAACATGTATCTCAAACAAACAAATATTTTTCTTGATTGTTTCAGCAGTAGGTTGAAGTAACGTAGAGAAAACTTTTAGGAGAATGAGCATATTACTATTTGGTTACTTATATAGCTGATAAAGCGGTTATATTTATAGCTACCCGTATTGTTTTGCAGAATGACAATCCGAACTTAACTTTTTCTATCATAATTCCGCTGGTTTAGCATTTTGCTGTACTTACTTTTTATCAAAGGCAAATTATAAAACAATATTGCCCAGCAAGATGCATTCGTGCTATTGTACGATATAATATACATATGTTAACTGAACAAATTTGGTGTCTGAAGGGAAGTAACTAGTGGTAAAAATGATTTGAATTTCGGAAATGTAAATAAAGAAAAGATTAGACGCCTGTCGTTGAATTTTTTAAATGAACTCTTTTGCAAATAAAATTGGCTAAAAAAATTCGGCCACCTAATCTATTGATAGGACGAAACAAGTCGCTCGAAAAAGAAAATTTCTTTTATTTAGTCTTTTACATAAATTTTTACCTCAAGGGAGATAACTCATACAAGAATTTTTATAAACATATTCCAAAATAGGTTCAAGTGATGACTTAATATCTGATGTTGCTTTAGTGCAGAGTTAATCATAAATTTATGATAATTATCAATAATTTCGTGATGCCAACCATGGAACTTTTCTAAAAGAGAAGGAACATAAAGATTTAACAGTATAATCTTCATATGCTCGAGCATAACAAATCATTCGAAACACGTAAGCTCCATGGGCGGGCGACAAAGAAAATTAAAAATTGAAATCTCCTCGGTCGCCATGCCAAGTTGAAGAAGCAGGTCTTAAAACTGCCTTGATAACCACCAATATGTGATATATTATTAACTGACCTGTTGGAATTGACAGCCCCCGATATCACGGCATTCTATTCCATAGGAGAAGATGGTTTTTTCCTCTCTCCATCGTCTCACAGCCAACTCTGCCAAACTATCACCTAGTTCTTTTTCAAAAACCATGGCCATAACAGAAGCTTTATTTTTATGATCATAAGTACAGGTCTTAGCTTTAATAGAAGCTTTAGAGGCAAGTTTTTCACTCCATAACTGTAATGATATCCGAAAATATTTCAAAACATTTTTTTTTTAAATATTAAATTATTGTGTTTTTGTAATTCCGATTACTAAGCAAAATATAAGCCCCAGAAGTGCGGCTGAGCTGAAACGTTGAAAATTCAAAGAGATATTAATTACAATTTAGATGTACCGTTATTGTTGGAATATAGATAGTAGTTATATAATCAACCAGTGCGAATTTAACAGGATACTACAGTAACGTATTCGATTGCACAAGTCATTAATGACGAGCTAATTTTTCAGCTTTCAAGTCCAAATGTAGATCCAAAATAGTGTTTCTCAAATGCACAAAGTCGACAGTGACTGGCCACTCCGACTTTAGTATTTTCTAAGCATTTAATTCGATTAGCCAATTCCAATTAACTTACCAGACAATTCATATTTCCACCTTTGGCTTCTTTTCTAAATTTATTCAATGCTCCAACGATCTCATTTTTCAGCTTACGTCCAAGTCCAAATTCAGATCTGAAATTGTGCTTCTCAAATGCACAAAGCCTATCACTGTTATCAACAGTAACATAATCTTTTATGTTATTAACCACCACAGGTCGGCGTGTTTCTGTCATTATTCCAGCAATGATGGTTTTCAGTGATGCGATTGAGACCAATCCAGGAATAGTTACACTTCCAGAATTGGCCTGGTTGTTGGTCGTTAAAGTATTGTTAGATGCATCTGGAAGTGATCCTCCAATTTGCACCGTGTGTTTGGCTTTTGTAGCATTTTGACATTTATGATATGGAGCGCTGATGTACAATATGGAAATCACCAGATGTAAATACATCCTGACCCGCTTGGTTTTATTGCAAGAATGACTTATTTTTATTTCCCATCGCCCGTTCTTCACATCATTTTATATTTTTATCAATTTTATAAACATCACTCAAAAGAGAGTACGTGAGGATTTTCCACTTTGAAATTCGTGGTATGTGAACCGTTCAATATTGTTTTGAACTATTGGCATGTCATTGGAATTTTGTTTTTGAAAATCATCGTAAATAGATAGTACATAAATCAAAAGAAAAATAAATCAAATTAAAGCTGCTTGTGGGCGTATATTGGCATGCCATCATATCATATGATTACTTCAGTAATTAAAATTTGTATTTTGAAAATGAATCATGTATAGATGCATCTTGATGTTACTCTTTCCATCTTCAGTTGGTTGTTCAGCCAATTTAGCAAACATGATACAGAGGAAGTTGAATTGAAGATATCAAAATCAAGTACATGGACCTTCCATCAAGATCTCTTAGGAAGGATTTCAAACAAGTGGGATCAAGTCGGACATATTAAAGCACCGGTAATCTATCTAAAGGATAACCATATTTGTGGTCTTTGATGGTTAATACATGTATATTCTTAATAACCCATTCCGTTTCAACATGTTTTTCAGTGTTTGTATTGACGAGAGAGAGAGAGGCAATAAAAATGAACCACAAATATTATATTCGACAGTTTATTATGGCGATGTGATATATCATTCTTATGATTGAGACATTTTGAATTTATTACACTAGTCAAGGATATATATCATTTTAGTAATCCCTACTGTCACGAATAATACAAGAGTTGTTGTGTGCAGTATCGGTTTGGGAGTGCTCCTTCAGATCGTTATGTCTGATCTTGTATATTAGCATTTTAAAAGTATATAAAGGTAATTTCAAAAAATGTTCCCTCCTTCAAATATTCGTCAGCCGTTTGATCAAAGGAAAGTGTGTGAGTTCGAGAGAATGAGGGCCCCTTTTTATACACGCACATCTCTCTACGTGGACGTATATTGTCGGCACCAATGAAATCAAATGAAATTGGATATGTGTATACATATTCATAAAACGAAGATCAAGTTCGAATTTGGGCTATTTTCGACCGTTAGAAGCAGAGTTATTGCCCTTGCCCCATAATTTTGAATATGCTATTACTCTCTTAGTTTTCTACTGATTTTGATGAAACTTAAAATGAATGTTATTGGACCTAAATCGAAAGGTTTAAGAAAGTTTAGTTTACTTCTGATTAAATTTAAAGCGTTTTCAATATTTAGGCCTCTTACGTCAGTTTTGAGGAGTAATCGCCCTTTAACCTCTATGCAGTAAGTGCTTCTATCAACATCAATTGCTCTTATACAATCTGTCCGTCCGTCCGTCGGTCCGTCAACATTTGCGTGTAAACGCTCTAAAAACTAGATTTTTTGATGGAATCAAATGAAATTCGGTATGTGTATACATATTCATAAAACGAAGATCAAGTTCGAATTTGAGCTATTTTCGACCGTTAAAAGCAGAGTTATTGCCCTTGCCCCAAAATCTTGAATATGCTATTACTCTCTTAGTTTTTAACCGATTTTGATGAAACTTAAAATGGATGTTTCGTTTTTACCATCCGCATGCCGTGAAGGGCGTATATGGCTGTGGTCCACTATCTTTATTGTTTCTAAATTGCCATCTCATATACATTGTTAAAGTATTCAACAGTAAAAATAAAGAATATCCCTGCAAGGATATTGAATAGCATTTTCAAAACGTGTTTTATTTCCATAGCAGAATGGTTTGTGTTTACATAAAAATAGCGTTGTAAAGTCTGTATAATCACATACTACAGTAATATACATAAAGAATTATATTCCCATACTTAGACTTCTTCAGAACTTCGGCCTAGGAAAATACCTGAAATAAAAATTCATACAAAATAACATACAAGTTATTCCGAATTCCAAAGCGAAACTTGACATTAATACGCCGGTTACAATTTCAAGGAATTCTACAACTACAATTCGAAGACATTTATTGAAATCCACAAGCATCGGAATGATTGCAATCTACAACTATTGATATGGTTTAAATCTACATATCTATTAAAATGTTCCGTGTTCTACAACTACACAAAATATATCTACATTTAACAACAAATATTGGATTCTACAACTACCACAATAAAGTTCTATCATTAACAGATTCTATTCTACAATTACCATCAAAACAGTTTGAAATCTACAACTACCAAAATAAAAGTTAAATTCTACAGCTACCGTAATAAAGTTCTATCATTAACAGATTATATTTTACAATTACTATCAAAACTGTTTGAAATCTACAACTACCAAAATAAATGTTGAATTCTACAGCCATCACAATTAGTTATATCATTAACAGATTATATTTTACAATTACTATCAAAACTGTTTGAAATCTACAACTACCAAAATAAAAGTTGAATTCTACAGCCATCACAATTAGTTATATCATTAACAGATTATATTTTACAATTACTATCAAAACTGTTTGAAATCTACAACTACCAAAATAAAAGTTGAATTCTACAGCCATCACAATTAGTTATATCATTAACAGATTATATTTTACAATTACTATCAAAACTGTTTGAAATCTACAACTACCAAAATAAAAGTTGAATTCTACAGCTATCACAATAAAATTAACAGATTATATTTTACAACTACCACCAAAACAGTTTGAATTCTACAACTACCAAAATGAGTTGAATTCTACAGCTACCGAAATAAAGTTCCATCCTTAACAGATTATATTCTACAATTACCATCAAAACAGTTTGCAATCTACAACTATCAAATTAATGATTGAATTCTACAGCTACCACAATAAAGTTCTATCATTAACAGATTCTATTCTACAATTACCATCAAAACAGTTTGAAATCTACAACTACCAAAATAAAAGTTAAATTCTACAGCTACCGTAATAAAGTTCTATCATTCCTAGATTCTATTTTATATTAACTATCAAAACAATATAAAGGTTGAATTCTACATCTACCGTATTAAAGTTCTATCATTAATAGGTTCTATATTACAATTACTATTACTAAAAACAGTTTGAAATATACAACTAACAAAAAAGGTTGAATAGTACAACCCTGGTAGTCTACCAATCTTAACATTCTACCATAAATACTTACCATTCACAGAGTTTGTCCTTATTACATGTTGGAGTTGAACCTCGGGATGCTGAACATTGTGCACATTGATTACCAGTAAGATAGGGTAGTTCATTTCTAACGTTGCCTCTATAAATATGAGAAGTTATTGGTAGCAAAGTTAATTGCATTTACATGCATATTATGCCATTTTTGAAGACATCTTAGATAATTTGATACCGTTATTGTTATGGTGCTTTTTGGGTTTTTTCCACACTTAACCAATGCCAGTGATGCAGAGCGGACCAGTTAAAACGGGATAAGACGAAAAACAATTGCAATTTACCACTCAATCAAATTAACATTTCATTGCACATTACCTCCCTTGAATGATGCAATAAGAAAAAGCTGCAATAACTCTTCACCATTACATATACTTACTTTGGCTCAAACAAACAGACCATGTTCGTCATATCACTACATCTTTCAGCGGCACAACCAATTATTTTAGACCTTGCCCAAACAATCTAAAACAGCAGGATATTGAAATGTGTATACGGACAACGTAGTGTAAAATTGAGGACTGAAAGAATTGGTCTCTTACGACGTATCTTCTTTTATTTTTACACCTGTCCAAAAATTACATATTTTGTACACATTCGGAACAGTTCTAGCCCTCAAAGCCAACAGGATAGCAACGTTTTATACGTATCTGTACCTTGCCGGGATGAAACACTCGTATAAGACCTACTCGTACAGTGCCGGGATAGGTCACTCGTATATGAACTGGTGGAAATAGAAGTCTAATATTGATGCATTGGATAAGTATTATTGATACTAAAGACTAACCTGAGAGAATTGACAACCACCAGTATCTCGACAATCGTTACCATATGAAAAATATTTTTTATTGTCCATCCATCTACTGAGAGATCTCCCAACCAATTGATCACCGATTTCTTTTTCATATACCATGGATGTAATAGCTGCTTTATTAGTATTTTGATAGGTGCATTCCTTTACTAGTTTGGCCGCTTTAGCTGCAAGTTTTTCACTCCATAGCTGTAACAAATAAATATATATTGACCCCAGATTTGAATTTACCGCAGCGTAGTGGTTTCAATCTAAATTGCTCAAGTTTTGTTAACTAGCCTAGTGGTTAGTTACCACGCAGGACACAATAATGTTGCTATCGGCGATATTCTGTCTAAATGTATTGCCAGACTGCTAAATGTCTCTGTATTCCTGGGTTTCATTGGAGGGTTTGAATAATATTGAAATGATTGAACTTACCAGACAATTCATGTTTTGAGCTTTAACGTCTTTTCTGATTTTATTCAAGTTTTCAACAATGTCCTTTTTTAATTTGTCATGAAGTCCGAATGAGTTTAAGAAATTTTGTCTCTCGAATGCACATAAATTGCTCTTGTTGTCTATAAAAACACGTCCCCATCTTCTAGGATTTCTTCGTCTATTTGTCAGAATGAGTTGTTTTCTGGGTTGAGAAAGAGTTGGTTGTCCAGTAGCAGTTGGTTGTTTACTACCAGTATTTGTCACAGTCGGCTTACTTGCGGCAGCAACAGTTTGTTTGTTGGTCATCATTAGTGTAGCAAGCATAGCTTGCAAAGACGCTATTGATAATGTTCCAGATGATGGCGTGCTTCCAGCATTGATCACCCCCTTTTGTGGTTCAGAATTTTGATTTGTACCAGACAGTGAGCTTCCATTTGGAGATGTTCCCGATAATTCTGTGACGTTTTGACAACAACAAAATGGTACACTGAGAAACACCGTAAGAAACACAACACGGAAATTCATTCTGCCTAGTAAAGTTTCGCAATAGCTAAAATTCTATATTTATCCGCTTGATATAGGCGCATATTTTTTTGTTGTTGTCATTTTTAAATATTCTTAAACATCACTCAAACACATGTCGTGATATCATACTTGAAAATATAGTAAGCTTAAAATATTTTAATACATCAAAGGGTTACATGTATTTCATTGAATTTATGGATCTATGCGCATGCTGCAGTTTCGTGACCGAATTTTTGTATTGGCAATTAAGTTTATCAGCCAATAATTCGTATACTTAACATTTGGGCTGTTAAGCTCAATAATGATAAAATGTAGAATATCTGTTAATGTCTTGATGGACACATTAACAGTTCAGATTGTATATATAACATCATTTTGCTTATGAATTGGCTTTTGTCATGGTGAAAATTCTCGAAAACAAGCGACCCTGCATGGTGCCAACATCCCTCTCTATTTCATGATTTTAGATATTGTACAAAATATTGGAGAATTCCAATGGGGAAAAATTTATTTAACTATTGTTAGTTGTGCATATGCAAATACTCCTATACTCCATATACTTTTATAAATTCAATGGGTCACGGTGTTCCAAATTATGCCCTTCTACGACGCTGTTTAAAGATAACAAACAGAAAGTAAATCAACTTTGATATTGTCAATCAGATCATGTTGACATGACTTAAGAGTTGTCAACATTTAACGTGATTGAGACGTACATTTTCAAGATTTATGGAACAAACCAGCAAACTACTAATACAACAATCTGTCAGCATTTTGATACATTGTATACTTCTTGAAATTTTAAAGTCTTTTTGTCGGATCCCATGAATATGAATGAATAATGTCAATGAGTTTGAAAAAATTCTGACAACCAACCAACCAATTCTATTACTGCAACTAAACACCATACACCAATGCCCCTCCGGATATATTACTTGCCCTTACGAACAATCAAGTCCGACTACAGGAATGTTGTTGATATTTGGTAAATATTTTTTTATGATATATTATTATGTATTTTGTATGATATGTGCGAATAGAACTAACAGTACAATAATAAAGATTGATTAATGTGCTCTAAGACATACTAGCTCAAAGACACATTAACCAAAGTACACTCTTTGATTGCCTCGCATAAAAAATTGAACGGATATATTAGTTAGTCGTACGTCAAAGACGCTTTTTTTGGTTTGTTGCGTGTGCTTTGCCCGATAAGTCACCACATGTAGAAGAACGGAACGCATTACTGCACATTACAGCTTTCTTATAAAATAAAGTTAAATGTCCCTTTTAAGATTTCTACTTGTTTACTACAAGGATATTTCCTCTTTATATTTTCATTCCAATGTGTTCAGAACGGTGGCAATCCGACCAATTTCGCGCGGGTGTTTAGCATCCAAACCACACCCCAATTCCTAATAATTTCATCATGATATGAACAACCTTGTAAAAGATGGATCCATAGTGGGACTGGGGTTTCTTTCGCACCTTGGTCAGGATTCTCACCCTTCTGGATTACCAAATTGCGCTTCAGACAATAAAAGAACGAAATGAACAAAAGTAAACGAGTTCTGTGTTTATTATAACCCCTTGGCCGCTTGCTGTTATTAAATTTACAAATAATACGCCAACTTGGAAGTATATGGTTAAAAATTATCTGCAAGAAATAAACATAGAAATAAAAAACATTGTGAAATATATTTTTGTGGTCATTTGTTTCATAGAATAATAATAATAATAAGGTATATAAATCAAAATGTATGCCTTATCTTCAAGAAAAGTTTCGACGTCACTTTTCAGATGCCCGACTCCCTAGTTCTTATTTACAGGGCGGCAAAGGGGTTGTATCCGCTATAGCTGCTATATGACATGACTATCGCAAAAGTTGCTAATAAGGACTTTTGCGATAACTACGCCATAAAACGCTTAGGAATTGCATGACCCACGCAGAGGTCTGACTAAAAAGTGGAATGGTGCAAATCGATCAGTTAAACTTACTTTCTTTTCATAATTCTCCAATCACATAGCTGGTTTTCACATCGAATGGTATCTCTAGGACACTGTTGACAATGGTTACCTTGAATATATGGTAACATACCAATACCATTTCCTCTAGAAATACAAAGATAGTCAGATGATATTAATATGATATACATCCAATAGGAAGATATAACTAGACTCAAATTAAACGTAAATGACACTTGGTATTATTTGAAAGAATGGTGGCACCGTAAGGTGTGTCCATCTAGATCTAGTTGGGTTGTCATCTGCAAGTGCCATTGATGAAGAAGTCTTCAGGCAATGATCTGTGCTCTGTGATGTTCCCCTATACCATCTGCTTCAAACTAAAAATGGAGTACATGACTTTGCCACGTAGAATTCTCGACACAATTTAAAAATGTTCATGACTTACGGTGGGTCAAACAAACACACTACAAACTGACTACTGGCACACCAATGTGAAGCACAGCCCATGGTTTTAGATTGGGCCCAGATCATCTGGAAAGAAATACAAATTTGCAATTTGTATTTTTGGGTAACCTTGGTCAACCAGAACTAGTCTTTTTTTTTTACATAGGTTTTATGCAACCAAAAAGCAATTTACATACCCTTTAGATATAAAATGTCATTTTATAAAAGTCTGCATAACAATTACCGTTATAGAGATAAAGTCAGGACATATTTTGTAAAAGATCCACTGACTTTGGCTTAAAATCCTGATGAAACAATGGTTCCCAAACTTTTGAACTCCAAGAGCCCTGGTATGCAACATCCTTTACGGGTGCGAAATGAAGATTCCAATAGATCAACGAAAGTCTTCGGGTGAACAGGGTCCAATAACAAAAACACCGAGATGATACCTTATAACTGATAATCATATGACATTCCTTTTTGAAAAGAACGTATGAAACTTTCCTGTCACTTTGTGCTGTTCGATAATAACCCCATGTATTACTAGAGCCCTTCGTTAAGAACCAGATCTTTGGATGAAGAGAACAAACATAAAGAAAAAATACCTGAGAATATGCACAAGTATTGGGTGTAGTAACCCTACAATCTGTACCCAAACGGAAATCATTCTTCTCGGCAATCCAGTGTTTGTTGATGTATTCTGCTACTTTATCACCAGTACTTTGTTGAGGGACCACGATTAAAGATTCACCACTAGTGCTGTTCCTGTGTAACAATTGACATGTTTGTGATCTTGTGCCGGCTTCTCTGGCTAAGCTGTTACTCCATTTCTAGAAATAAAATGACATCGACATAGTTCTAAGGGTGTTATCAAGTTTAACCAGCGTTTGGTCGATCGATTTCCTAATGAGGTCGGTATGTAGACGTTGTGTGTCCTGAACTGGCCGAAAAGTGGTCTGGATAGGCCTGCTTGGGGTTAGTCAATTATTTGTGTTCGGAGGACCTTATGATGATAGCTTATACAGAACCTTAACCAATTTAACAGGGGCTGAACGACAAGCTATTTTACAGGGCTAAGATGTAGTATCGTAAAAATAGAGTAAAAACTTACCATAACGTACATGTCTTGAGCATCAACACTCATCCTATGCATATTAATAAATTTCAGTAATAAATTCATAGATGATGCTGATAACTGATTGTGTCGAGAATTAGAAGCGCCATTGAATGTATTAAAGTTGTTGACGTTGTTAGAAAATTGGTTTGATAATTGGTTAGAGTTAGGAAATGCGTTGAACCTAGAAAATTGGTTATTCCCAGAAAATTGATTATTGCTGAAAAATTGGTTATTTCGAGAAAATTGATTATTCCTAGAAAATTGATTATTCCTAGAAAATTGGTTATTCCTAGAAAATTGGTTATTCCTAAATTGGTTGTTTCTAGAAAATTGGTTGTTATTCCTAGATAATCTGTTATTGTTGGTCAGAATACGATTGTTCCTGATGTTCCTGTTTGAAGAAAACCTATCTATTGAAATTTGGTTCGGATTTGATCTGACGTTATTTCTTCCAGAACGACTGTTCCAATTTCCCCAAGACATGCCGGACAATGACTGTCCATTTGAGACATATACCAAAGTTAACACAAACACTAAGCTGAACATATAAACCGACCACATTCTCACAGATTTCAAAGGAGAAAGCTGCGCTTCGATGTATTGGTTTCCAAGTTGTGGAAAAATTTCTTTGAACTTCTCTTTTACGCCGTGAATTGGTGATCGTCTATTACAAGTATAATTATTCATAGTTTAATTATGATTGATTATAGCTTTAAACAAGGACATGAAAAACAGTGTGTCATTTATATTCTTTTAATTGATTAGTAAATATCTTATAACTGGCATAATTTATTAGTCTTCTGTTATGAGAGTTTGGTATTTATAGCTATTGCTGGTGGCTCCTATATACCCACAAAAAATTATTTCCTTATTACCAAGCTATTCTCAACTGGAGCATAAATTCGAAAATCGGATGGGCGTTAACTTGGTATGCCACTCCGACAACATTCTTAATTAAACGTTGCATGTATATCAATGAGAACTTTTCTGCTCGACCTGAGCCAGACCTCCATGCTAAAGATCATGCACAGCCACTTTATCTTAATAAAAGTATCAGAAACGTGTGATGATTCACCAGTGTGATTTCTTACTTTATTCATGCACTAGTTGCTCAACTAGATGAGAGGGGGGACCGTGGTCTCAAGAAGGTTTGGCTCCCTCCCCCGGAAATATTTTTTAATATGTGTTATTCTTATTTTTTATGGGGATGAGGAACCTCTTAGGGATAGAGGCCCATAGAGTTAGTTAAACCAGACCCTATGATAGTTAAGCCACTGTCATACACTTCATGTCCTATGACTGGAAAATTAACACCTGATGTCCTGGTGGGAATTGCCAATTTTTATATACGTCTGTATGGGTCTCAACGTACAATCTTTCAGAAGATGTGTCAATATTCGAGAGATGTGATTGGAAATCATACCATGATGCAAAATTTCCTTTCGTCTGTCTTTGGTAGTATCAGTTATTGCTTTAATTACGCATGCGATCAATTTATAGCTTGACGGATTACTTTTAGTGTCTGTTTTGCATGTTGTATGGTTTTGACCAAAAAAAGTTCCATGCATTTTACCAAATACATATATTGTTTATATCATTTCTTTAAAAGTTACCTATTTCAAGGGAAATAACTGTATTCTGCACTATTGAAATGGAATAATAATTCTAAAATGTCATATTTTTTACTGAAAATTTCCCATTGCAAATTATATTATTGATTAATAGGAATATATACTCTTATTTTGCATTTGCAGGACAAACGCCATTCTGAAGCTAATGTGATGAACATGGTATCACGAATACGGGTTTTAACATAATCTTATTGAAGTATCACGAATGGGTGTGGTTTTGACACGATGTTCCTGTTATCGCTCTTTGCGTTTCATTCCACTTCAACTTTATCTTGACCACTGCAAAGATTTGCGTCGAAAGAATCGTGGTTGTAACAATATTGTGTACTTCTGTATGTATGTGAACTGCAGTAAGGTGAGGAGGGAACTGAAGAATTCTGCATTGATGCAGCGATAGAAATTTTGCAGAACGTAGGCCAGAAATGAAGAATTCTTTAGTATGCATTGATGGAAATTTTGCAGAATGTAGGTCAGGATTGAAGAATTATTTAGTGTGCGTCGTTGGAAAATGTAGAATGTTTAATGTGCATTGATGTAATCTTTGCAGAATATAGGTAAAAAAGAAGCATTCTTAAGTGTGCATTAATGCAAATTTTACAGATTGTATGTAAGAAATGAAGAAGACAGTAGTCTATGTAATTTAGCAACGGTAAAAATATGCAATAAAATTAGTCAAAAGGTTGATTGTTCACAAAGAAATTGGTCGTAGTACTTTGGTCACAGGAATATTGGTCGAGGGGAAATATGGTATAATTGCTTTCATTGCTATGATCAAATGATCAAATTAGTGAAACTAATTGCCAGGTGGATAAGGTAGTGACAAATTTGCCTGTGACCGAATTGCCGATTTACTATGGTAAAATTACCAAGCCCCATTTTGTAAGGCTAGCGACATAAATTCGCATAGTCTCCATCCAATAAATGGATTGCTTTTATCAAATTTAGGTGACTTCATTTGGCCACCCAATTCAATGAGCACTGATACTGAGAAAGATATACTGCATTAAAAATCTGGATGTAATCATTATTCATTTTGGTATGTTAGTGACATCACCAGGTATATGAATATTTTTAAGCCAAATAAGAGACCACCATATTACCACAGAAAACAGAGTTTTAATGATGCAAATAGAAGACCCTGGCACAAAAGCATACCGTGCACAATAGCCGTTATGAGTGCCATAAACTATGTTCAAGAATTTAAAAAAAAAAACGTACTTTCAAAATATTTTTTTCTTAACATAATTTACATTATTTACAGAACAAAAGATAAATAGGTATATATATATATAATTGTAGACAACAATGGGTCTGTCTGTAATGATGTTATGATGAGGTTATAAAATGTTGATGGATTGACGACTAATTCCAGAACTATCATGTCTTTTACCTAAAACGAAAAAAACACACCCAAACGATCAGTGAATCGATCACAAAGTATTAACCTTTTTTTTTCTAGTTTTCATGCACTGCACGATTTTTAAGTGTATATTATTTTAGTGGTGGTAAACATTTTTTATTGACTATTTGTGTCCTGATGAAGGAATCATCTGTCATCATTAAATAGAAGCAATGCGTTCAAGAACGACAATCTGTTTAAAATATAGAGCTAGATGGTTCGTTTCCTGTTTTGACGTTCATCGATTTGACAAAATTGTAACTAAATCGTTTTCTTGGACAAATGGCACTAAAAGTCCTACTTTATGCTAACAAATCAAAAGCACAGTTAAAATAGGACCGCCAGTCTATAAATATCTTAGAAATATTCAGATATAAAAATCGTATTAAAAAAATAATTTTATAGGGTGAACATGTTCTGCATAACAATTTTATCCGAGCAAGAAATGCAAATTGGGTTATCAACAGACACTCACAAAACGAAAGTTCTAAAAATCTTTTTTCATCAGATCGCAAGAACATTATAATGAGGCAAGCTGGAATAATATTTCGTCAGTACAATAGTGCTGAGACTTAAGACAAATGATTATCTTTTGTGGAGTGTCGTTGGAATAAATGATACGAGAATGGAATAACTGACCAAGACTAAGGTCATCTCACTCAAGATCGATCCAGATTATATGAATTTTAATAGGGCTAGTCCCGTTCAAATACTTACCAGTGGCAAAGATTCTCTCGACATGTACCAGAGCAAGCAGAACACGGTGTACCTTGTTGAAATGGTGGAATACCAATGATATTACCCCTGAAATTAATCAAAAGAATAGATTATTATAAGCAGAACTGTTGTACACTATAAAGTACATCTGGATATCTTTACGCATCTCCTCAAGGATAATTTAGCCATAGTCACTATTTTCACTCCTCATATTAAATGCAGCACCAAGAAACCTCTCTGTACCATGCCTTTGAATATGAAGATATTTGTTTAAACCCTTCATAACGAAGGTATTGAAAGAAACTGCCAGAGCAGCACTTACGAGGTCCAATGTCTTTCAAATTTAAACATTGTTTAGTATAAATAGTAAGTCTGAATAAAATAGTGGATCGTTTCGATCGAGATAAGATAATCAGATTCAATGAAAAACTTACTGTGGAGAATAAAAACAAACTAGATAATGCATGTCCGGGCATCTGTGAGCAGCACAACCAACTTCTGTTGATGATGACCAAACCATCTGAAAAGAGGGCAAAATGATGTTATCAAACGGTAATATAATGAAATTAAACTGCTGCAGATCTGCAGACCAGGGTTGCTATTGACATTTTAATATTTTTTACCTGGTGTCGTAAAAGGAGCACAGATTGTTCATGCTTGTGGAAGGCCCTATACCAAAATATTACCTGTGTATAATGACAGCTACCAGTATCCATACAATTCTTGCCATCATATTGTTTAATCTCATCATACCATCCATTTAAACCATAATCTAATAACAACTTGATGCCACCGCCAGTAACATAGGCTAAATTTTCACCACGACCAGCTTGCTGATGTCCCCATTTACATTGTTTAGCCCAATCATCAGACTCTTTTGCTAACTGGTTGTTCCATTTCTGTGAGATAAAATATTGTATACTTAATACAAAAATACTTATATAAACCAACGGACATTGTCTTCTCAGCAGAAGTGTCACCTCTTGGGATAAAGTCGTCTGAACAATTTCCTTGCCTTATGAAATGAATGGAGTTTTACGTCCTACTTTTCTGCACCATTTGCCTTTTGATTAAGCTCAGTTATCTGCATATTAGTAAAGGAAACGAATGTTTTTTTATGAATTGCACTGGAAGCGCAAATGATCCATACATACCTGTACATTTGTTAGAATTAAACCCTCCCAAAATTTTAATGATATGTATGTTGTGTCCAACAGGTGTTCGTACGTATGACTAGTATTAATATGTATGTTGCTTGTCTTAATTAAGTTTAAAAACTGCACTGGAACTGCGCAGATGATCCATACATACCTGTACATTTGTTAGAAATAAACCCTCCCAAAATTTAAATGATATGTATGTTGTATCCAACAGGTGTTCGTAAGTATGACTAGTATTAATATGTATGTATCATCCTTGTAAGATAGCACTGGTATGTTGGCCATGTCAGTATCACTTACGGTGTAACGAGAAAACCACATGTGACAACTTGTAACACATTTTCATCTTTTAAATTTTTTAAACCAGTAAAACGGGTTATGACGGGTTAGACATGCACTTATCAAAATATTTTTATTATTTCACGGGCTGTAGTTTGGATCTTATATAACATGGTCTATAAAAATGGGTAACACATTGAAATTGGGTAGCATATTTATGCTGATGATCTTTGAAATATAAGTACATCTTAATGTTATTAGTATTAAAATACCATTCTTCGATAGAAAATTTTATCTTAAAGTGATACTACATCTTACAATGAACATAAAATTTAAGTTCTCGAAATGGTCAATATGAGTATATCTTCATCAGTTAACTTACCTGGTGTCATAAAGTTACAACAGAATCCCTTTAAATCTGGAAAATTGGAAAATTCTTAAAACTAAGTAATTATTGAAAAACGCTTAATCTTGATATAAAGCGTTTTTCAATAGTTAATTGCATATTTATGAATAATCATTAAGTTTTTTGGATTTATCGGAATATATAAGGATCCTGTTATGTTATTTATGACACCAGGTATATCTTATTCGCCAAGTTTAAAATGCTTCAATTTTTATGTTAATTCCAAGACGTAATATCACTTTATATACATATCTTTATATAGACTATGTTGACGAGCTCAATTCAGATGTCTCCAATAGTCTTATTATAGACAAATGTCTGTTTGTCAATCTAATTTAGTTTAACCTCTCGATCAAATATGACTTTGATAATGGCATAGATTTATATTTCTAGGTTTATGGTGGAAAAAGGTTGACGACATCACTCCAAGGTTAAGCAAATAAGGATGAACAATTACAAATATTTGGGTTGATGTATTGCCATGTTTTCCAAAACCCAATACAACGATCACGAAAGTATTATTTTTATGTGTAGCCTGACGTGCACGGTCAATACGGACACTGTCCGCAGAGGAACGGTTTACTGTATGACAAAGGTTAAAATAGTTTGGCTTTTGAGCGAGATATTAGCTTTAGTTTTGATCTGTATTCTTAGGATATGTATATAACATTGTGATTTTTGAAAATTGGATATGTTTCGAGATTTAGTTTTGAGTTCTTTCCCTTGATAACCCAAAATACCCACAAATAGCTTCATCAACATTATACATAGACTAGAGTTTTGTATGCATGTAAATATGCAGAAGGACCTTGAAGATTCTTAAAATTTTAATCAGACAAAAAGTCGTGCTCACTGCACTATGTTGCCTGTCTTAATTAAGTTTCAAAAAAGAGCAGAAAATTAAAATGCAAAACTCCATTCCAATGGTAAGTTTCAGTATTCAGTACTCTATTTCCACGAGCTAGTTTTAATATTAAACCTTGAGGCAGCCGATCGTTTTTCCCGCCATTAAATTTGATTGACCGACGATATAACTAATATGACACATGAGTCGGAATTATATCAAACTAATATGACAATGTCTAACATTCAACCAATGGGGACAAACACACCGGAAACAAATAAATTATATTGCAAAAATTATTGGTACACACTTACCAAAGCATACATATCTGCTGCATTACTTGCTGATCTCTTAATATTGTGGAAATCTAAAATAAATTTCTGGTAATATGTCGGAATTCCGAATTCTCCTGCCATTTCTTCTGCTCTGGTATCTGACGGTGTTATGGACTGTGGTGGTCCTTGATTGCTATTTGGTTGTGGTTGGATCCAGAACATGGTTTTACGGAACACTCTGGAATTCGGTGAAGTTATCACTTGGGTATCTGTTTGTGGTTGGTCTCCATTGCTCAAGAAGAATCTTCTAAATGCATCATTACCCATGGGACTGCTGAGCGTTTCTATTAATGGACGTCGTTGGTTTGATTGAGTTATGATTCTCTGTTGAAATCGCCTTTGTCCACCATTTTCTAATGGTTGTATAGTTTGTACAAACCTACTGCCTGCTGGACTCGATCCACTTCGTCTTAAAGATATTATGGACTGAACACCAGGGCTGAACCCTGTATTTTCAAGTGTCCTAATCATCTGAGTTGGTTGAGCTACATTTTGAAATGTCCTAATATTTTGTATACGTTGTCCTGCATTTGGTAATCTCCTGATGTTTTGTACTGGTCCACTACCGAGATTGGAAACCATAGATTGCACCTGAGACAGTAAGTTCGGATCAGATGTTTGAATAGTAAAAGAATATCTCTGTGAATTCACATATACACAGGTACATAGTATTAACACAAGCTGGCATAAAACTCTCTCCATTTTGATTGTTGATTAGAAGACGTTAAACTGGTAAGAAATGTGAAACAGATTGCTAATTAAAGGCCACTAGACACCTTGAATCATTTAGCCGGAGGGCAAATTACGTTGTTACAGTACATAGTATTCATGGATTTTGATTGATTTCTTTTGTCATATTACGTTTAAAATGAATTCATTTTGGGATTTTGACCCCACCTTTACACTCAAAAGTAAACAGATCTATAACAGTTCAGGACCTTGACTTAGATTGTGTTCGGACATTTGAAACACGTCATTGCAGTAAAGGGTTTCCGTCATTTTGATGTCATATGTTTTTGACTATTGGTCGTAATGAATATGATGAATTGAATATATTTTGCGGAAATATTATTTATATTAATATTATTAGAGAACATTTATGCAATAGTGCCATTGTTAATGGAATTCCTGGACTTTCAGGAACAGTTCTTGCTCAGTTTTAATAACACCATTGACAGTGCAATTCTGAAAATTGAGTCATAGAGAAAATTTATAACCTTTCATATCTTATTTTTAATGTGGGGAATCGGGGGAGTTTATAGCCAGTCAGTTTCCTTTCGAGAAGTCTGACTCAAAGAGACGAACAGGTGGCAGGTGTAACGTGACTCCGCTTCCGCAATGAAATTTTAAAGGAGTGATTTTCGTGGTCATTTACCTATGCATCACAATTCCATGTCACTCAGAGTTTGACAACTTGGCATCCCTGAGTCACATGACTCATCTATCTCAACTATTTAGTACAAATTGGAAAATCTTGCATACTATGTGAGTGGTCGAAATAATCGCAGTTGCCAGTCAATTATTCGATGGTGGCTGACCCGATGAGATGTTTTGAATCGCCTGTCGATATGAGTCTTATCTCAAACATATAAAAGAACCAAAATTCGATTTTTTAAAACTAATTTATTTACAGGTTTTACAAGTTTTTTGGCAATAAACTTCTCTCATCAACTGATTCTTGGAACAATAACCTAAACTAGCCCAATAGTTACAACTTCTTTGAAATTTAGTTTCATCTTCACATGCAACTGTAATAGAAAAACATGTACTTGTTGGAATATTTAATCTATACTCTAAAACAAAAGGTTATGCGTTTTAACAAAAGCAAGTTTTGAACACTAATGTCCAACAGTAATACCTGAGTGGGACTATCTCAACTCGACCATTTGGTAACGTCAAGTGCAAGACCTAGCTTCTTGCGTGCACGGCAGGAATCCGGGATTTAGATTTGGTCTGGATATCCCGGCTTTTTCTTGTGATTCAGGACCGATTTTAAATGAGTTTGATCGGTCATCAAGTTTTCTAGAGTCGTCTCATGTCCCGACATTACTGCTATTGTCAGGAAAAATAGGAAGGTATCTGTCGGACAAGGATTTATGCCTGTCTCTCTGTTATATTCCTTTCGAATTTGGTGGGTTTATTTGTGTATATAGGCCAAAAGTTTAAAATTATGGTAGAATATGCCTCTATGTAATTTTGTATGCTCAAGTAGCATTTTCCTGTGAAATATCCAACATAAATTGCTAAAGATCTGACTTGAAGTACATGGGTGGAAACGTACTATAGAAGGAAATAGAGATGAAATTGACGACAAAATCAAAACCATTTGTCTTAATGGATGTTAATGTTGTTCCACACAATTCAATCATTGTTTGCCTTGTCGATTGTTCAAAATAACAACATGTTCATAACAAATTATTTGATTAATAAATGACAGTGATTGAAAACAATTGATCATTTTCAACCGTTTTTACATAAAAAAACAAAGTCTTCGACCGAATTTTTTCATCTTCATTGCGTAAGTCGTAGGGGTACTTTATCATAAATGATAAATTATGTACATGTAATAAGTTATCCATATGTTCGTAAAAAGGAAATTCATAACACCATCTCCGAAGTATCGCAGATAATGACAATCTTCTGAGATATCTGAATTGACAACTGAGACCCCGTCGACAAGAACATCATGTCATTTTATCGTCAATAATTACTAATGATCGCGTCAATATTGTTCGTCATAAATATTTTAGAAACTACATCTAACCGGAAGAAGGTGATATGACTTGAAGAGGCATTGCCGTTATTCCGATGCCTGGTTCGTTTACGAAAAAAAATACTTAACGGTGGAAGCGATGGTTTCCTTAAGTCATATAAATCAGCAATACATGCAATTTTTTTTAACTTGGCAGACTTAGTCTATCTTCCATTTTCTGTATATTTGAATGCAGCCGAAAGACGGATATTGATTCACCTGACAGAGAAATATTTCGAATTTCGATGACCTTATTGATTTTGTGTTCAGTGCCTCTTTTCGTGGACAATAGATGTAAAAGAGAACTTATCTTACCTGTTGGTGGTGATACTACCAAAAATGCAGGAGGATTACATCTGTCACAGGTTTTTGGACAGGATATTCTCACAGCATGGTTAGAGGCACAATCTGCTTTCCAGTGTTCGCAACCTCTCAATCTATCTACACATGTTGAATCTACGGTGGTTGTTTTCATCGTAGTTGTTGTGGGTTGTAATGATGTTCTTCTAACTACAGGATGGGTTGAATTCTGGATTGCAAACTGTCTAACGCACATTTGGTTTTCACAGTGGCTATTTTTTGGACATTTACTGCATATTGGTCCGATTGTAAATGGATATGACCCGTACATATTGCCCCTGTAAAAATGTATTCATTCATGTAAAGATAAAGCTTTAGCTTTGGAAACAATATCCAACACCATGCGAGTTAACGCCCAACAATTTTGCGATGACATCAAAAAACCTTCTAGAAGGAGGTAACATACCTAAATGCAATACAAAATGTCAAAAGCTATCCTATCTAGGATTAAACGGTTATATGTCTGTTTTAGAGATTGGTTACCTTTAAAAATGCTGTATCGATCAGGCGCTGTTAAATATTCGAAATGTCACACTGTTTTCGTGCATAATTGATGCAATATTTGAATACATTATGGTTCAAGAACGTGATAGTGAAACAAGTGGGAAAAACACCATATTTTTAACTGCATTATTATTTTTATGTAAATATTCAGTGAAATACTGTTTTCTTCACCGCATGGCAAGATTGAGGTAGAATTGTTCCAACGAATAGCCAAGGCTATTATTATAGCAACTCATCTTATGGTCGCTAATGCTCAATTCACGAGACTTTCCTAAACGCTATTAGCTGAAGGGTTATTTCGCTGAAAGGAATGAAAATCCACGTGAACTTACTCCTTACTTGGGATAATAAAAACAGGCGAACAATGTGGTGTCTTTAATCGTTCTGCCATTATCATTCATCACTGGACATTTCTTAATACCACATCCTACTGTCGTAGTGTTGGCCCAAACCATCTGCAATACAAAGAACACATTGAAATCTTGACCACCTCAACTGTACATCATCTTTTCTGCGATATTGCCAATAGTACAAAACCATCGTACATAATAGCCCAGATATATGCCCCGACCTCGCGCGTACAAGAATAAGAATTTGCGTTAAGACCTTAAAAAAATTACCCAAACTGGTGCCTCAGATCTTTAATTTTGATCCCACTCGCCTGACAATTTGCGAGTGAGATCGAGATCGAGATTGTTCTAAGGTGCAAGTAATATATCTGAGGCAATGGTGCAATAATGGAATTGCTTGGTTGTCAGCTTCGGGCCTGGTGTGTATACTAGATCTATCTGGTGTTGATATTTTTAATTCAAAATTTCACTCTGTTAAAGCACCACATATAACATAGGAAAACCCTCGGCATATACAATAGATGTATAACTAGCCACAGACAATAACCTTAGATACCAAGTATTTTGTCCACAAGATAGCCCTAGATAATACTCATTCAAAACTGACTTATTGACAGTCGGATTTTCGCCTCTAGATAATAATGGCGCAATATGTGGAATGCAGTCAAAAAGAAATCGATAGTGTGCAGGAAAACAATGCGCCTATCTTTTTCAACAAAGTTACATTTTTTTTTATATTGATGAAAATACGAAGCAGACAATCATGTCACCATATATAAGTACGGTTGAGAAACCAATATTTTCTCTCGTGAATAATGTTTATATCTCAAATTCAGCCATTGCTACTTAACATAATTCTAAGATATAATGACACATGACACTTAGATGAATTACCACGTCAATATACTCCCAATGTGTTGATATCAGTCAACTATATAGAAGGGAAAATAAAATGCATCAAAATACTGGACGGATAACATTTTGTGGCGTTATCAAAGTATCAAATATCGTTTAAGGTAAAAACACTGAATAGTTTTGTCTTCAGATGGCGATATTTAGCTTACTCGTCCTAGTCGTTGTTAGTATCTTTTATGAGATCACCCGAACACTCCAAATGATAATTCGTGATGTTTTGGTCGACGAGTTCAGATTGCATGAAGTTGTATACAATGGATTGAATTAGAAATTGGGAAGTTTCAGTTTCCAGACGCAAGAATCAAATATAACAAAACTACCTGAGTGTAATGACAAGCTAGTCCACAGTTTCCTTTTGATACCTGCCAATGCCTTCTTTCCTCATACCAACTATTGAGAGCATCTGTTACAAAGTCTTTAACAGATTTCTTGTAATCGTCAAAATATAGATTTTCACCTAGACCACTTCCTTTATGTTCAAATCGACATTTTTCTACCCAGTACGACGATTCTCGGGATAAGGCTTCATCCCATGTCTGAAAGATTAATGTGTGAAGTTAAATGATTTAAGTTGATCTAATATAATACAATTACGTGTGTCATTCTACAGAATATGACAATGTGAATGAATTTTTTCTGGATTTCCTGAAAACAATTTATAGCGTAAAACGTAAAACAAATTTATGGCAAATCAGTCGTCTAAGTCCTACGTAAAACAAATTGATAGCAAATCAGTCGCATAAGGCCTACGTGTGGCAATTGATAGCAATTCAGTCTTAACTGATCTACTTGAAATAATTGATAGCAAATCAGTCGTAACTGGTCTACTTGACATAATCTATAGCAAATCAGTCGTATTAGTCCTACGTAAAACAAATTGATAGCAAATCAGTCGTATAAGGCCTACTTGAAGCAATTCATAGTAAATCAGTCGTAAATGCTCTACTTAAAACAATTGATAGCAAATCAGTCGTAACTAGTCTACTTGAAACAATTGATAGCAATTCAGTTTTAACAAACCTTGGTATTGATAGCAAATCAGTCCTAACTGAAAAGTACTTGACAAAAATTGATAGCAAATCAGTCATAACTTTTACTTCCCAAATATCTTACCAATTTGATCATATTAGAAGCATATTCAGATTTTCTGTATGAGTTGTGTTGATTAACTATATACGATTTCAATGTTGAAAGATCTACTACAGCACCATTGACTAACATCAACCATATTATATTCAACCATATTCTTAAAGAATAAAATAAACTCTTTCTGAAAATAAAGTCGTCATTGCTTTTCCATCCGATTTCGTCAAGAGATTTATCATTCCATTTCTTTCTCATTTAGCCCTCCGGTTCCTCTTAATGGAAGACAAGTGTAAACTTTTTCAACTTGAGAGCTCCACTGTAACAGGAGATATCCTTTTTTATATGAAATACTCTTTTTTTCTAGAATTGGGAAAGCATGGAAAAGATCAGAAAGTCTGCGCTGAAAATCAAGAGATTTGTCATTCCATTTCGTTCTCATTTTGCACTTCAGTTCCTCTTAATGGCAGACAACTGTAAACTTTTTCGATTTGAGAGCCCCTCTGTATCAGGAGATATACTTTTTTTTTTATATGAAATACTTTTTTTTCTAGAATTGGGAAAACATGGAAAAGTTTACAGACTAGTCTGCGCTGAAACTTTTGCCACATTGACCATTAGTTCAACTAAAGATATCAGTGAATAATTATATTAATACTTTTGGCATTATATTTTTTTACAAGTAATATACCATTTCAAATTAGTTCAACCTATAGAGCTGTAAATACAATATATTATGGTCCTAGATTTGGTACTCTACAAATCCTGGGATAAAAGTATCTTTTTATATTGAATATAGTAAAAGTCTCGAACATAATTATGTGGTTAACAAAGTAGCAATTCACTTCTACGTTTTTTTAAAAAATATATTAACAATGATAACCTAATATTACAGAAGTTACTTACCCATAGAATTTTAAAAAACACATCATTTACAAAAAAAATTGTAAGAACAATAATCCTAGATATAGCATATGTGCTTTAAGCTGACTGGAGAATTAAGATAATTGTGTTAGATAAGATTAAAATATATATTTTAAATAACATGTCCAAATGTCAATTCACATCATAAACTGGCGAGACATTCAATATGTAAATTGGCTATTCTAATTATCGCAGGACATTTACTAGCCTCATTTTTTACAGGAAATTGGCGTACATATTGTTTACCCTTTCAAAGAAAAAAAACGGAAATAAAACATGATCGGTGTTAAGGAGTTTTCTTCTGTAATTATATTTAATTGTGTCAAGAAGGTCAGTTAAAATATGAATCATAGTCTATGAGGAAATACTTTTTTTTATGGTGGAATACTGTTACACGAAAAAATTCCCAGCGTATATCAGAACAATTTACGTGCATATATCAATAAATCTAAAACTGCTGTAAGTTTCTCGGTTTGTAAACCTCTTCTTCCTTATCTGTCATTCTTTTAATTAGTCTTACCGTAATCCAAAATCAATAAAAAAAACTTATACAGACCAAAAACCAATGGGGCTCTTCTCGATACGGATATAAAAAAAAACTGAGTCCATGGATTCTCACGTAATCAAAAAAAAAACTATTGTGCTAAAAAAAATTCGAACCGGCTATAAAAGTTAGATCGTTGTGCTATAAAACTAAGACAGGATGCGTTCATAACAAAGAACCAACTAAGAAATTTTCAACAATAAAAATAAAACCAAACTGTTGTGCTAGTAAAAACTTAAAGTTTCCTAGTTTCTTGCAGAGTTCTGGAATCTCACTTATTATATGACAAACCATGCGGTTACGGTCGGCAAAAACAAATGTTAAATAATATATAAAAAATAGTATTTAAGTACTGAAACAGATGGCTTGCTCATTCCGCTGGAACACTTTGCGATCGCGTCAAACATGCCTTATTGTACGACGTTAGATACGCTCATGCTTTCCCAGGGAAGCTCTGTGGGTAGCAGCTGCCACTTTCATGGAGATAACCCATTTTATAGGGCCATCCAGAAGATTATCGACAAATATGATAAGGCCGCAGGTAGAGGACAAGAACTTCAGTAAAACCATCATTCTTTACAATGTCAAGCTAATACGAACTTCGTCTTATACGTTGACTGTTACAACCACGGACATGTAGGTACCAGGGAAGTTTGTAGCTTTCGGTTTAACGAAAATCATTAAACATGCCATTCCATAACTAGAGTTATGTCCCTTCCTATTAGGAAACCTGTCAAGTGTCACGTACGCAACATGTGTATATGATTTGAGTGTACGTTAGCGAATACAGCCAATCATAGTCCTCGATAAAAACAATTAGCCATAATGTTATGTCTTTCTGTCGATTGCCTTGATTGCCTGTACAATCCAATCAAATCGTAGCAAGGTGACTATTGCAGTCAACAAGACATAAGACACAGATCGTAAGAACTTGACATTGTGAAGATAGGCCTATAGTCGTAAAGGTTCATAAACTAATCTTAATCAATATTAAAAGTGTATTATCATGGTAATTATTAAGTGGGAGAATCTATAAAATATTTCCACTAACATTACGATGCAAATTATACTTCTTAGGGTGCGGAAGGAAATTTAAACCCGAAATATAGGCCACAAGAGGTACTTCTGTTGCCCAGCCATGGGGGTGACATTACAGAAATAAATGGTCTTAATAAGGTATTTTAACCGGGTTAGCTCAGGGGGGAACACGGTATCACAAGTATCAGACTATAACTTTAATAAAAACCCTGTAATGATAATAATATACAATTATTATCACAGTAAAATTATATCTATTCACATAACATACTTATATACACTACAATACTATTTCAATACATTTGAAATACAATATATGCTATATTATGCGATGGAAAAAACGATAGGACACAAAGAATAATGTTAAATAAAAGTAAAACTAACCCAAAGGTGGGGTTTTAAACAAAGCTGTTGGAAACTGTTTTAACTATCAAATGTATTAAACCTGTGAATTAATTAAATATAATTAAAGGTAATTATAATATGTAATAATTGCAAAAGACTAAGCTTTACTTTAGATATAAAAGGTACCGTACCAAAGAATAGAAATTCAAGATGTCTGCCGTTTCTAAACATTAAAATACCATAGTTACATTTATACACCTCTCATACAAAATATAGTTACCCAGAAAGACAATAACCCTATAAAATACCCAAAACACACATACCTGTGAAGTTATTTGAAGGAAATAACTATGATGAAAAATTAGTTGAAGTAGCCAGATCAATTATTTCATAACGCATGAAACAAAGTTTCCTTCTACTTCAAAGACAAAGATAAAAGTAAAGTTTCTGACTGGATAGGTGATGTAACTCACTGACAACTCACTAAGCTGACCAATGACAGAAGGTGACAAGGTCCAGTGAGGTCAGTTCAGTTAAGAAAATAAGAGAAGGCAATAATAAGAACATTCGTATTAGGTCAGTGTAAAGTAATTATGTGCTTATTAAAACAGTAGTGGTGCATTAAGATAAGACAACATTTAAATAAAAACAACCCAGTTTCTGTAAAAATGCACCCTGCCACAGTATTTATCAACAAGTACACGTACGATATACAGACACATCTTTATGGAACACCATACTGGTTAATAATAATGATAATAATATTAACAATAGTAATAGTAATAGTAAAAGGACTGTAATAGTAATAGTAATAGTAATAATAATAATAATAATAATAATAAACTCTTTATTTTATATGGGTCAGTTATAACGTTGTTAAAGTTTTATGCAACGTTTCGCCGTGTTTCCCCTACAGAATGAACAAAGAAGTTTGACATGTTGGTGACCTCTCCCATTTTAGACTCATTACATAGACCTGAAGTTGATGTTCTTTATCTTGTTAAGATACCGTTTTATGATGGTTTTATTTTTAATATACAAGACTATGGACTGAAAATTACCGTTCGCCCATCGATCTGTTCATCGGCCCATCGGCTTACATTTCTTGTCGATGTGATAAAAACTGAGGTTCTATAGAAGCATATAACTTCTGTGTTGTTTTCACCAACCCAATTTGGGAGGGTTAATTGGTATTGGGGCTGGATTTTGTACTGAATTAAAGGCCCAGAAACTCATTTCCAACAATTTTGAGGTTCCAAAAAACGTATTAAAATCTATATCTATCTGATTTTGTACAAATGAAATGAATCAATCTATGATGAACTGAAAAAAGTTTTGCTGGGACTTAATTCTCACTTGCTGGAGCCCAAAATTTACGACCTAAATACGCCACTGGTGTGGGCGTATAAAGAGAGAATCTTTCTCTCATAATTTAGGTCTCATTGAAGTATTACTGGGAGATAACTCTTTTCTAGTTTTTCCACAATTAACGGACAACAATTGTTTTTTTTTTTATTTATATCTCGTGGCTAGAATAGAATGAATAATTTGTGCAGGCCTACAATAAGCTCTGTTTTTATATTTATCTTTATAATTGAATGCTTGAAAAACTTTACAATGAATACTTTACATAATAATACACAAGGCCTAATTATAGAGTATGACACATTGTCCCACATAGTAGTTTTAATAAACTCGTCCATGCATTACTGGGAGATAACTCCTTCTAGTTTTACAAAGTTTCAGACAACAAGTAAATTTTTATTTATTTTGGCTATATATAGATCAAGGACAATAACCCATACACTGCTTTACCACAAAATTGGTGAAAATCTATAACATCCTGATAAGATTACATCATAGATTTGGTCTAGTAATCAGATGAATGATTAAAGCCTTTAGGACTTTCTAATTATCAAGTTAAAGTAGGCCGCTTACAACAAATGTAAAGTTAAGTGTAATTAATAGCCAAAAATCCTCATCTAAAATCGCGAAAGCCACATTATTCTTTTTAGGTTTAGAACTAGCCTATGATGCAGGGTCTATAATACACATAGGCCTATCCTCACAAATATGTAGGCCTTATTTCGCGTTCTCATATTAGGCTAAAATAGTTATCAAGTCAATAATATCACGTTTCATATTTTCACAATCGGGTCAAATATGTAAAGCCTACTCAAATGTAGGCTAGGCCTATGGAGTATAGTCTACCTAAGACTTTGTCTTTTTGTGTACATGCGTCATATACGTACGCCTGTGGCTGTAAATACACAGAAGTCATAATATCATCCGGTTGAGGATTCTTCCCATATCATAACGTGCCAAAATGTGTATGAATCTTTCCGGTAATAACAAACATTTATCATGAACTCATCCTTCTAATTTGCTTTTTCGACATCCCTGTCATATTCAGCCACCAAACAGTGGTATATTTCGGACTATGTCGAATCGAAGGTGTTCCATTTTAACCCGGAAGTTTATGATAAAATGACCTCATACAGTCCCACAATCCAACGGTTTTATTTCCCCCGTAACAAAATGTGTTGGGTGATCGAATCAAGCCCCTGAAAAGTGATCTTTTTTTCATTAAAATGTGATATATTCGTAAATTATTTGTTCAAGGAATGGTAGTTCTTTGATTATACTAAAGGGTAATTTCATGTTTATTGTCAAAACTTATTTACAATCATTTCAAACTGGGCAAACTTGTGCTGTTTTGGCGAATGTCATAATCAAAACAAGTTGCTTCTAAATACTGTTTTGGCTCCATGCCATATGATTATGATATGACTATGATATATTATAATTTTTCAGTTTTGGTGGATATATCTTTTGCAAATTCTTTGAATGTATATGGAGCTCTATTATGTAAAAAAATCCATGTAGCCAAACGTCTCATGGAATGGGTAGGGTACTAACTCATCAAGTTGAACCTTACTTATGTGTTGTAATTTATTATTTGTTTATGTCATATATTATGCATGATTGTCTGACTATTTGTCTGTTCTTGAACTTTAGTTTGATTACAATGCTGTTATCTGGACTGAAGATAATGAAGTTCAAGGCTAATGACTACAATCTACAAGACTACAGAGAGTCTCTCGAACCTTGATGCATGAATATTATTGATCAACCCTATGGCCCTGATGCATTTTTACAGTTTGTTTCAAATTCAATCAGCGCCTGAAAGAGCTGTTGTTGGGATGGTTTATAGTCAGCTAAAGGCTGAGATCTTGAAGAATTTGCTTTGATACAGTATAATGAGCTAACAACTTTTTTCATTCTTTATTACAGTTATGGTATGGTAGAATTGATATCAAGGTTACCTTGACATGGCAAGTAAAGGCATTGGAATATGCTTAAAAATTAAACTTTTAGTAGTTGACTTTGTCTTTGAAGATGAATAAAGAAAATGGAAAAATATGCCTTTTGAGTGTTAGCTAGAATGATTGTGAAAATGGAAAGGTGTTTGGACATGTAAACATTGTTTATTTGTGTATTTATACCGTACCAGTACCCATCTTTGACATGGCCACTCCAAGGAAATCATTAAGTGAAAAGTTCCAGCAGGCAGCTAAAAAGAAAACTTCCAGCAAACGTCTAAGAACTCCAGATACTCCACCAGATGCTGGCCAGAAAGATGAACAGAAGATATTCCAAGATGAATCAAACCCAAAACCTGGTGTGTCTGAGGTGAAGATTGAACTGAAGAAAGAAATTGATGCTTCCAAGTTTTCTATGACCGTCAAATCACCTACTGAATTTGAATCAAGACGGAATGTTTTTGATTTTCATGCAGTAAAATGTTCAAAGATTGATATGAAACCAATGGCAATAGAGAAATTGAAGTCACCTCGAAGAATAGTTAAAGCTCAAACACCTTTAAGGAAACTGGGAATATGTGAATTTCGTCCAGCTGATGTTTCGCATATGTCTTTGACAAAGTTTACCAAAAGTAAGAATGACGATCGACCTGTCAAATTTCAGCTAAGCTCAGAAACAGTCAGTGAGTTGGATGAATCAAACTTGTCTCCTTCCCCACCAAGTGGAAATGAATCTGAACGTAAATACTCATCTTCAACCCCTAAAAGCAAGCATGATCAAAATTCATCGTCTGAACAAACACCCAATAACAGACGAAGTAGTTTGCTACGAGAGAATGCATTCGATGAAGTGGAGGACATGTCTATTTCTTCATCTGAATTTTCACCATGTAGTACCTCAACCAGTTTAAGGCTGGAAGATTTAAGTGATGAAGGAAGTATGAGTGACAGTAAACTACGAGAAAGTATAGAGTTTAGTGATGACATGACAGAGATCCACATTCCTGAACCACATCTACCAATAAACAAACAATTACGTATCGTTACATCTGTTGATAGAGCTCTTCATCCAAGAAGGAAGAGTTCTTTGGCCCGATCTCTTGGAAGATCGTCATCTGATAATTTGGATCACTTGGTATTTCTGGAATTTATGAAGAAATCTCAGTTGTCATCTTTTGTGCAATACTTCCCTTCAACGTTAACCATGAAAGACTTCAGGTACCGTATTGTTTATAATAAATGAATAATTCTATTAATAACTCTAAGCTTATTTCTTGCGAGGGATATTTTCAGAATTCAAAATTAAGCTCCCCAACTTATGATCAACAATTGAAATTGGATATAAGCTTATTTATTCTGACAACTTTTCAATGGTTTTCAAATGGTTTTTTGATACTTGACCTTGATCATTAGGGTCAAAATCAAAAAGGGATTCCAAATAGGGGTTTTCTCTCCTGATCATTATGTACGTGTTTTTCAGGGAGGCATACAGTCACCTGATGATAAAGCTTGACATTTTGATTCCAGATTTCACTATTGTCTTTTTGGATTTTTTCTAACAAAATTTTACAAGAGAATTCAAATATCAGCCTCAAAACAGTACTGTTTGTGACAGTTTTTTTTTGTATTCAGAAAATTTGCTGATATGAAATTGTAACAGAATCATAGTCATGGTAAATTATTCTGTGATTTTATGAATCAAATAATACCTTTATATTTTAGATGTTTAACAGAAGAAGATTTACAAGATCAATATAAAATAGATGATGCCCAGTGTCGTAAATTAATCTTAAAAGCAGTAGACAAGGCTAAAGAAGAAGAAGAAAGCGATGTGGAGGTAGGAATCTATATACATAATTTTGACATGTAAATAGGTCACATTTAATCAAAATATTTCATATTGTTTCAAAAGTAACAAATTGCCAAGAGCAACGCCGGTTAAAATTTCTTCACAATCTAGCGAAGAATCTAATCAGGTTCCACTTCCCCCCCTAACAATAATAAGCTTATATCAAATGCATTCACATCATTAACCTACATGTAATGAGATGTCCTGCAAAATTTCGACAAATACATTAACAGTGAGAGAGTTGTATTAAGCTAAGGCTTATAAATGTCAGATATTTGCATAATAGCATTATAATTTATGCTAAACAAAAAATAACACATTGTAAGTTTTATTAAAATTACAAAAACAATTTTTTTTTTTGCTGTTATTTTTTATCTCCATTGTAATCTAACATATTTTCTACTGCACTTATTCCAACTAAATGTCTTTCATGTTCTTATTTGATATTATTATTTGATATTATTTTCGGGGAATTCCCTTTTAAATGAAGGTTTAAACCAAGGTTTATCCATTAGTTTGCAATGATAATGTTAGATGAGACACATTCCTTATCAAACTTAAGCTTAAGCCAAGGATTAGCAGTCCCTGGCTTTTAAGCTTATCTTTGAAAGATATCTTTCACTAATAAATATTCCACGTCAATGTTCTTAATTAGTTAATTTACAATATGATTATTTGAAGATATTCATATTTTTTTTTACAGTACTTAGGAAGGTTTAAAGACCTAGATATTTGTTAATTAGTAAGATAAAGAACAGGATTCTCTTGCCAATTTTCTCTCATATTATTTGGCATCTGTTTTCTGTTATATTGGAATTATAAAGTTTTTATCACATTAGTCACAAGTGTCTTATTTCTTTGTGGGGAACTGTGTCAGATTTATTAGTTCATTGTTCTATAATGTTCAAGGCTGGTTGGTAAGCCTGCAAAACTTGATTTTAGTATTCCAGTCATCTGATTGGTCAATCATTAAATTGATTTTGAATTTAGTTTTGTTATCCAATCAGATTTCTTCAAAAATGGATTTTGTCTAAGTTAACAGAATTAAACCCCTTTGTAATAACAGCAACAGCTAATAACAAACTTTACAATGAAAATATGCATTTCTTAAATCAAGATATTTTCCACACCGATACAGGAATTGCTGATGTTTTGCAGATTACATTCTCAAACTTGTTTGACATATACAGGGTTCGCACAGTCTTGAAAAACCTTTGAATTCCGTCCATTGCCTTGAATAACCTTGATTTCAAAAAAAGTCTTTGAAAACACCATAAAAAAAAACATTTTCTCTTGAAAAGTCCTTGAATTTTGAGTTGAGTCAAATTGTGTATATTTTTATCATTAACCCCATTGACAAATATTAACTATCTTTATTGATTTCACAGTTCAGAAGTAATGTACGTATGTGTATTCTGTCAGACTAATATCCTTGAAAAGTCCTTGAATTTCAAAGCCCAGAGTCCTTGAAAAGTCTTTGAATTTTTGATGGAAAGTGCTGTATGAAAATGAAATGAAATGAATGGAGTTTTACGTCCTGCTTTTCTGCACCATGTGGGCTAATGAAGACGGGCAACGCCATGTAGGGTGCAATGAGGGAAATTTTGCCAGGACAGCGGCATTAGCCTGCTCTTTTTCGATTTCCAACTGTCGAGGGATTTAACGTACAAAGCCTGTAGCACACGGGGCCTCGGTTTATTGTCCCATCCGAACGACTAGATGCTTTTTCCATGTCAGCCCCTCGTACCTGCATCACTGACAGGGGGAAACCGGGTTGAAAAATCCGAAGGTATTATCTCGACCTATGCCGAGATTGAACCCTGGACATTCAGGTTAGCGAGCAAGCGTCTGAGCCACCGCGGCTCCAAAAAAAAGTGCTGTATGAACCCTGATATAACTATCAAGACACATTTTTGTATCAGATCCTTTTCATACCAGTAATGAGAAATTGAGTACTGTAATTAAATTTGCTGCAATTTCTATCATTTTGGGGTAAAAAACTGTGCATTGTATTCGGAAATGTACGGTATTTAAGCTTTTGTAGACAAATTTGTTCTATACGGGTATGTATTATGTAACTGTATTATGTAACGGTATGAATATATATATATTTGTCTGGAGAACTGTTTAAGTATGACTTTATGACCTTAATACATCATGTGCTTGAAGCTAAAGGTAATAAGCTAAAAATATCAACAATTATACGATTTCCATCAAACCTTGTAGACAAATTTTCTCTATAGTCTTATTTTTTCTGAGAAATTTAAAGGCCATGCTTCATTGGTTGAGATGTAAATATCACAAAAATTGCATAATTCCTTCAAATAACCTTATAAAACTGAAAATTTCACTTCTTATTACCGGTACTGCATTTTCTTTTCTATATATGGCAGTGTCTCAATAAAAGATCAGCGGTCTTTTTAATTTGAGATAATTCTAGACACATGAATTTTAAGGCTTACATTTCAGCAGTGAGCTGTGAACACTGTTACTGATTAGCTTAGCTAAAAAAAGAAATTCCAATTTCTAAGATCAAATATGTCCAGCTTAAAATAGTTTGATAGTGCTAGACCAAGTTGAAAGTTGTGAATGGATCAGGGTATGTGTGAGTGTCTATTATTATCTGTGGTTGTGGGAGTACTGGTATAAAATGATAATAATTTAACCTTCAACACAGCTGTAAATACTCCAGTATAGGTTTCTTATCTTCTCACTAACACTGTTCAATGATTTAAATCCTAAATTACAATATTATTTGGCCGTTTTCAGTTAAATATAGACCGGTCAATTATTTACTGATTATAATATACCGGTAATTGATTTTTTTCAGTTATAGCATCTTCACAATGTCTTATACCTTGACTGCAATAGTCACCATTTTTGTATTGTGGAAGTTTGTAAAGTCTACATTTACAAACTTCTGTGATACAGTATCTTGCGATTTTGATAATTGTAGTAGCGGGTGTTGCATACAAGTCAGACCATTCTTACATTTTTCAAAACACCTGATGATACTTCTCTTTGGATTTATAAGTTAATATTTCGAATTGATTGAAAACTAAAGAGAATTCTTTTGCTGGTTTGAAAAACTGTCATAGAAGATTAAGCTTATATGTTACAATGTATATTTGTTATTGCGAAGTGTAAGGTAACTTTACCTTGATTAGTAAAAGCTAACTAAATAATAACAGAATAAATTGTTCTTAATTATAATGATTTTAGTTCAATATGTGGACAGTTAAGATATAAACAAATCCTATCTTGATATTTTTCCGATACATTTTGTCTCCTGTTTTTTTTTTTCTTGATAACATTTTATTTATTGATTTTATATCAAAGAAAAAGTGTACTTACAATATAACTTGGTGCCTCTACCATTTTGACGAATCTGTATTGTAAGCATGTGTAAGGACATAGATGTCTGCGACAATTCCTTGAAAGAAATATGTTGTTATAACGACAAACCTATTAAATTAACTCATCCAATGTGTTGATGAGACATCTCTCTATATTGGTTCCTACTGTAACTAAGCAATGTTGACGTCATGGCATTATCATCATCAAATCCATTTAGAACTAACAAAGAGGAATCTGGTTTCATCAGATTTGACAGATGTATGGAATTGCTTAGAAAACTATAGGCTGGCCATGAGAGCATGGTGTATGAAAGCATTTCATAATATCCACACATTTCAAAATATAAAAATTCTGGTGCTCCATTCTTAATTATTTGAATATATATCTAAAAGGGGCACGTTCATTTTTGGGGGTTAATGTGGGTCTTAAATATAAGTAAATTATCTTCAGAAGTACTAGAAATATACGAATATTGCTTAATTTCTTCAAAAACTCAAGAATTTCACTTACTATTTCTCTATAAGTCTTTTCTTTGTATTGGTAAGTCTCAAACATGGATAATTCTAGCCACGCATGTATTTGAAGGCTCAAATTTCGAAGGTGAGCTGTGAACACTATTAGCTAAAAAAATTCCCATTTCGGGGACCAGGTGGTTAAACGGATGGCGAAGCTGTTCCTTTAATGGTAACAATTGTATTCAGTACCTGTGCATAAAATATCATATGATCAGGGCTACTTATAACATAATGTGGTCTCTCTAATATGGATGTTGAATTGAAAGACAGAAAATGAATTGTTACTAGATTAATACAAATTTGATTTTCCAAAATATTTTTCTACATTGTTTTGCGGACAAAAGACTGTCATTTGTGTCAGGTTTTAAGATTGATACCAGTTATAAAGAGATATTTTAAGACATAATAATACATGCAGCAGGATGATATTGTAAATAATCTCGCCACGAGTCCTCGAGGTAAAAAAAGCTTCAAGATATGACAACTACGTAAGAGGATTAACAAGTTCAACTAATGTCAGGTGAAGATTAAACCTATAAGATCATTTTATCTCAGTCTGAGATTAGCACCTACTTATTTTTACTGATCTTTCAACTGATTTAGACTATTTTTGTCTTAAAGACATGATGTACTTTTTAAAATGGAAAAGTTCAAAGGTTTAAAGAAGAACAAAGGCGATAATAAAAGATGGATGGATGACAATTAAGAAAGAAACTGTGAGTTCCCCATACACGATAAATTTGTTGACATCAATTGACAAGAGCATCGAAGTATTGACGGATATTTATCATTAATTAAGGTGACTGTGTGTGGGTTAAGCCTCAATATATTGATCAATAATTCCTCTTTTTTCGTTTTTGAGAATCCTCTTGAGCGAGGACTATTGCTAGTGTAACATACCCTTCAATATCAAATAATTTAATCAGAATGGAAAAAGCTGAAAATAACATTGATTATGTATAAGGACCTTTAGTCAATGAACATAGCGTTACATTGTCTCCTAGGACCCTATATTTTTTTTTGACCGAAGATGTAAAACCCCCATGTTTTTGTGTGATTTCTTCATAAGTAGTTGCTTTGTAGACATAGCAACCAAACCAGATCAGACAGTGTCTATAATATCTAAAAAAATTACTGATATAGTGCATAGACCACATTTTAATCATACCTTAGTCGCAGAAACGGAATTATTTAGCTAAGCTAATTATGGTAGTTTCGTCCATTTCTAATACTTCTGAAAACTATGTACATATATTCAATTCAAAGCCCAAATCAACCCTTGAAAATGGCTGACCATGACCGGATCATGACTCTTGTCCTAATTAAATTTGGTATGTTCTTAGTTTAAAAAGGGTCAAAAACAGAATCAAGAGCTGAAAATATTTCAGTCCAGGGATGTAAAACTCCCCTTGTCATTTTGTTATATGAAAAATAATTGTCAGTATATTTGAAATTTTTGATTTGAAGTTCTTGCCCTTTACTCTTTTGAACTAGATCGGAAAGGATGAAATATTTGAATCATCAACTGGGGCTGGTTTCCCAGCTGAACTTTTCACATTATCCATTAGACTGATGAATGTTATCCCTCTTAAAGTTAACTCACAATATCTTTGAATCAAAGAAGATATAACATCCATAGTATAAGGACAACTTCAAGTTAAACAGATGCTGTTAACAGCATCCTATCCCATGAAAACTCAAAATGTGCTCCATGTATCATGATATAAAGTTGAAAATAATCATTAATGTCAGCCTGTACATTATAAGCTAAGCTTAAAATGGAAATGTAGAGTTCAACAAATTCTAATTGAACTTGGCCTGATGCGTGGGATGTAAGATGGAATTACACATACCATGAGATAGTTGT